ATGAACTTATACTGTTATATGCATCAATAAATTCACCTGTTTATGCTGCCCAGGGCTATGATAACAATTTGTTCTCCATTTACTGCCATAAATCAATAACTAATCAAAGCTATGCACTCTCCATATAATTTAAGACACATTCACATGAGAGAGCAATCCATTACCTTTGCTATTTTGTTAAATTATGGTCGCCATCTTGTATGTCACCTGGTAAGAAGTAGAACAGTATAGACTAATATGAATTCTTGCTCTTGTGGTTCTCAGAGCATAGCTAGTATTCTCTGCTGAGGATCAGAAGGGCGTTTGTTCATACCTTTTAAAAGAGTAAAAACCTTCTAGCTCTCAACAAGCTATATCTTTTGTATAACATTTAATTTGATAGTAGCTTTGTGAGTGTGCAGAGGACAAAATGGATTCAAACGAAGGATTATACGCTGTGTAATCTGATAAAAGTGAAATAATATGGTGGGTTTTTTTCAATACAAATTTCTTGAAAAAATATCGCGGTAATCTTAACTTTGCCTCCTTTCTGTATATAGAATACTGGTAATCAGAGGAGAGAGCAATTTAGTATAAATTTTCTTGGGAAAAATTTGCTTGTACAAAATATTTCCTTTTCTGTGGAGACCTTTATACAAAAACAGTTTTTTACATTACTATGCACTCTCTCTTTTCATGTTACTGCCCTTCACATTTATAGTTAGATAGAGCTATTATTAAGGTGGAAAAGGGCTTTGAATGTATCTGTGAGAACCACATTTTACTTGAATGTTAAATATCAGACGTGACACACAATTGATGGGTATGATGAAAGATTTTCAGGTAAGGATTTTACAAAGAACATGAGAAGATGGAGACATGAGGCACATTCCAATTTCTGTCACTCGCATGGTTGTCGGGGAACGATTGAAGTGTGAAAGGGGTGTGAATGCATCAATAACATATGGATCCAGTTTGGAGTGGAGTAAGAATTTTGAATAATTGAGACATCCGTGATTTTAGTGTGAAAGGGGTATGAGTGCATCAATAAAGGGTAATTAGTGCATCAATCAAGAGTTTGATTCTACTAAGGGCAGGGGATCGAGAACAGGGTAGAAATGGTCAGGTCTATCGTTTAGGTGTGAAAGGGGGTGTGAGTGCATCCATAAAATATGGATCCAGCTTGGAACAGTAGGAATGTTGAATATTGAGACATGACACACAATTACTTGGGCATGATGGAGGAGTGTGCAATGTAAACACCTAGGCAGGAAAAGTTGAATGAGTCTTATAAATCATGTCTGGAGACCGCAGGGAAGATGTCAGCAATTTGAAAATAATTTCGAGATTGAGCTTCTCTATAGATGAAAATATAGGGAAAGGGACTTGGTTCTGTATGTTGTCATTTCTCAAGTAACCACTCTGATATAATTATGTATTATATTTATGGCCTTTAATCAAACTGAGAATTACCAGCTCTTGATTTAAGATGACATTTTCTCTACTTTTAATCAGTCTGAGAAAGAGGGTTTAGTAAGGAAATTAGATGACAGGGAAAGAGCACTTGCATTTATTGTATTTATTTAAAACATGTATTTAAGCACTGTGTTTGATTTATCTTTCCATTATTAAAAAGCCATAATTAGCACAAGAGTGCAGAATTAGAGAAAGGAGAGAGAGAGAGAAAGAGAGAGAGAGACAGAGGGGGGGGGGGGGGGGGGGAGGAGAGGGGGGGGGGAGAGAGAAGGTGTTATGATATTAAATTCAAGTAATAAAAAACGAGTATCATTATCATAGGACTGTTGTTAAGATATTGCCCTTAAACTACACAAATTTGTTTGAATATGCCACAAATTTCATGTTTCAGTGAGTGTATCTTTGCTTAAACAGGTTGTATAATCTCTGTCATTAATGTCAAATGTGACAGATTATTTACAATCAGACCATAATATTTGCATCACAAAATAAATGATCAGGTTTTATCAGACAGGCTTTATTAAGCAAGGGGGAAAAGTCCATCCAATTACTTTTAGTAAAAAGGCCATCTAATTATTTGTAGTAAAAAGGCAAAAAGCCAAGAAGACATGAAGGCATGACGGCACAGCAATAAAGCAGTTGTTCGATGAGATGTTACAGGCTCAAAACAAAGTTATTGCCTTTTGGAAGAGCATTAATTTTCAATACCAAGTCCCTCAGATAGGCCATAAACTGTAGGTCATCTAGTTGCTTATTAACAGGCATATAATTACTTTTCTAGCCTTCGGGTAAAACATTGACAGTCAATCAAATAAAAGTTGCTTCTTTTATATAGAATTATTTTTGAGTTGCCTAATAAAGTTTATTGTGATAAGGAATGACACATATCTTTATTTATTTGTTATAGAGGCTAAATTTAATGGCATTTACAAAGACTAAATTCTATTATTGCTTTATCTTTGCGAAGCCTGTACATACAAGTATTTATCTTGCTTCCGATAGCATCGTCTACTTATAGATAAAACATGATAAATTTGTTAATGTGAGTTGCCATTAGAAAGCATTAGCTGAAAATAGGTTAATGAGTTAATAATAATAATAATAATAATAATAATAGGCATTTTTATAGTGCCGCCTATCTAGAAATTCTATTCCGAGGCGCATTTATTATTACCCGGCTTTAGCCTAGTTAGCTGACATTACATCGCTCCAACATTTCAAGGAATTAATTCCTGCCAGGTACCAAATATAGACAATGACATGAGATAGCAATTAGAGACGTGGTGAGGCATTAGGTGTAATGAACTACATTTCCAGGTACAATATAAAAAGATATCATAAATGATCAATTCGACCTCCCATAAGAGAACAATGTTCTTTTATGCAGGCATGTTAATAACTCATTTTGACTCCTCTTTATTAAGGGTTGGCTGGGTAACTAAAGGACAGTGAACTAATACAACAGCTCCATTCAATGTTCATTCATTCCTAGAATTGTATACCTTGTGCCTTTAAATGTAGAGTTCAATATATTGTTTTCGAACTTTTTCGTGAGTTGTGGATAAAGCAATAATGCATACCGGTAATAGCAAGTATTTTTATTTAGAAGAGAAAAGGTGTGCTGAGAGCCAGAAGGGCATTAAATGAGCTAATGTCCTTTAGATCTCAACTCACAATTTACTCTCTTAAAAAAAAAAAAGAGTGTATTTTCACTCTATTTTCATTTTCTGGGAAGTGACATCCGTGATCACTTGTTTAGGAGTGAAAATCGAATGATTTTAGAGTGCTCTCTAAGAAGAAAAGAGTGAATGTTCACTCTATTTTCACTACATTTTCACTCTCCAGAGGGGTGACGTCCATGATCACTTGATTTTTTTTTTAGAGAGTAATCCATGCATACGGTCGCCTTTATTAATGTGAAAGGAAACTCTGAATCAATGCCTGAATGATTAAAGTAAACCTTCATAATATCAATACTTTTTATGTGGTATTGTAGAATTGTTTGAGCAAAATTTCATACCATCTTTTGTTCGAAATCATACAATTCGAATTTTCCCCCTTTAAATTAACATGCAACATTATTAATGAACCTACATATGCTCTGCTATCTACAAAACTGTTGTAGAATTACCTAAACTGACAGCAAAAATCTCTGAAATCATGATGTAGAGACTTTCCCTTTAATATTGCATAGCAAACATGGAACCTTTTCTGCACAATTATGATCTATTATTGATGGATTATTAAAGCAAAACTGCAGAATTATCCAAAATGACAGAGGAATTCCATCATATGTCTGAAATCATTTAGGAGTTTTATTTAACATTTGTTGACATCCATCAGTATTTATTACTTGCCTATGTACAGATTAATGATGATTGCCAAAAAATTACCCAAAGTGAGAGCAAAAAATTCATACTTTTTTTTGGTCTAAAATCATAGGATGGACAGTTCCCTTTAACATTACATGCCATGTATGCAACATTATCCACCTAAGAGTAGGATCTGTTTGATGGATGAAAGCAAAGCTATTGTAGAATTCTCAACATTTACATAGAAATGTACCATTTCACTCTGAATTCATCCAGAAGGCCGTCTGTAACACAATCTGCCCTTGGATCGCATTTGATGGATGAAGCAAGAAATATATTGACACTCCTACTGGTAGTGTTTTGATTTCAGGAACATTAGGCTGTACGTGTTCATAAAACTCATGTCACTCCAAAATTAAGAACATAAAAGATTAATCATAATTGCCAATTTGAAATACACGTTTATGGAACTGTGCAAAAGTGGATTCAGGCTTCCATATTTAGACATCCTTGCTGCCACCATGTTACATGGTGATGGTGGTAGATTAATACACAAATAAAGTGAGGACGTAGTCCTGTGTATATGTTTAGTCGGCCATTTATTCTGGAAGAGTGGTATCGTTTCAGTATCGATATTTGACATATCGTAACACAAGTGAATGAAAAAGAAAAAAACATTCCCAATGTAATGATTAACGCAATAGGTTGACACACCTACACACCAAAATGTACAGTACATCACTGTTTCTACAGGTAATTAAATACTTACGGTAGTAAACATATCATATTACCCAATGCAGGCATAATAGCGCCTGCTCAATCATATCATTTACAGCATTTGACACCCTTCTGCCTCTTAATAGATAACTCTATGTCGTTATTCTGGAATACACATTGTTTCAATACAAGTTATTTTGTAGACAGCCTTGTGAATTGATGGATATATTCAGTAATATTGTTCTCATTAAGTTTAACAACTCTACTTGGAATTAAAGAACTGTCCATTTCCTGGAACTGAACTGTCGTCAAGAAATTATGTGGTGAAAGAAGGCTTGTGTAATTTTTCAACATTCCATTTTTACCATGATTATATACGTCAGCATATTCTGGTACCGATAAGTATATGTGTTATACTGTAATTTTGTTGATTAGAAAATGTCTGAATTTTTTTATCATGATGATATGATAATTACCATTTTGCTCTTTATTCATTTCATATTTGTCTGCAGAACCAACATAAATTCATCATCCAAGGAGCGACTCATCTAATTCATTAAATATTTCCAGATCAATGAGGAAGAGATTGGATATATGGGATCATAATTACGGACTATGAACATCTCCTAATCCAAACCGTAGCCATATGCCACCACTGATCATCAAGGATTAAAGGATTAAAGGATGAGAAGATACGTTTTATCATAGCTGTGTTGTTTGTGATTGCCGTGCAAAGCTGAAGAAAAGGATGAATACCTCGCAGTAAGCATCTGGAATGTACGTAGCAGTATTCAAATTAAAGTGTGAAAATGTTGGGGAAAAATTGAACAATTTATTTATTTGATGGATCATCTCCCATGTTTATTCTACAGAATCACTGATCAGCATTTTGCTATTTCAGAAAGGTAAAAAAACCTAAGCATATAATTCTGTTTGAAAGCAGAATATTTTCTTGATTGATCAATGCAGACTGATGTATGCATGGTAGATGGAGATGTCATTAACTTCTTGTCTCTGTCATTCCTTGTTAAAGCAAAACAAAAGTCATGCTACTTTCTCTGATGGTTTGAAGTCTGAAGCATTAGAATCATTTCTACTGATCAAAGAATTAGACTTTTTCAACAAAACTGACACATTGTTTGAGACAAGAATTTGGAGTCTTCATAGTAGAAGAAAGAACATAGGAGTGTTGTCAAGGACTCTCTCTTTTTAAATTTGTATGTGATGATGGATGGAGAAGTTGGCACTTAGGTTAGGGTCCGTGTGAAATTGAGCGTCAAATATTCAACCGCTGACATCAATATACAAAAGGTCATGCAATTTTTTGCTTTTATTAGATGTCTCTGAACGCATCCATGCTTGCACATTTTGTGAGTTTAATAAAGCCCTAATGACTATGTCCGTGGAAATCAGCAATATTGAGGGAAATATTGCATCTGATGGCAACATCTGTTAAGAGTAGACCATGAGAATGCTGGGCAAGTTTATGAGCGATCACGGTTAATGGAAGCTCCGATGAAAAGATCTGCCATGTCTAGGAATGGGTGGTGATATGTTGCTAATGAGTTTGTGTGGCCGGCCACCTCCCACATGGAAGAGGATGCTGAAAGTGTCTCGTCTGGCAGCCCTCTGGAGTGAACATTAGTGCCAAACCTGAGAGACATATCTTCCTGTTTTATCACTTCTCCGCATGTGTATCGCTTGTGAGGATAATATTATGTGGAAGGAATTTTGATGGAATTAGCAGTGGATCAATTTGGAGGATTTGATTTCGAATACTTGAATACAAGTCAGTGAAATTTCATTTAGATTTGATGTGGATGTGTGTATCCTAATTGCAGTGATATCTTTAGCGAGACTTGTGGAAAAAAAATTATGTGAGATTTTTTTAATGTGACAATTCTTTCTGGGAAACCAGCATTGATTATACAAACTGATTTTGAGGAAAACTATCTAATATTTTCAGTGGATCACAGTTTATTCAACCCGATGCTTTCAACAAACTCTCATTGATCAACCACCCCTCATCCATTGATGTTTAAACTACGATCTTCATCGTTCCGTCGTAAGAATCCCACCATGAAGCAGGAGTACTATCAGATGGGCCAGGTCCACGGCGACGTCATCAGCTTCGGTTCCCTCGATGACTTCTTCAGAGAGCGGGGCAACACCATAGACCACGGGGGATGGTCGCTACGCCATCTGAGGGATAAGTTTCGTCAGATGGACGTGGAGTCCCTGTATACCAAGTATTGTGCCCAGCTGAGGAAGTGGCTCTTGTCGATGCTGTGCCTGCTGGCGATGGCCCAAGTGGGAGCCCTCATAGGACTCTTCCTCTTCTACGCTGAGGTGAGTTCTTGTTTGTCAAAGAAATCCTGTTAGTGGAAGTAGAAAACTTTACTCATAGTGTCATATTTTAAACATTACCTTTGAAAAAAATATCATGCCTGGTAAATCAGCAATTACTGCAAAATGGATTCCATCCACAGAGATTCTGTCATACATAACAGCTTTCTTAAATAGTTTGGTCAAAAAGATTATTTAGGGGAAAAATACATACATTTGTATATGTATGCTAACATTTGTACACTATGAACATTTGATTACTCATAGCAAACTTATCTATTTTGTAAAAAATCTTTAATGATAATAATAAAGAAACAGTTGCAAATCACGTGCGAGATATGGATGGAACTATGCCGGGGCCCAGTCATGCTTTGTTTGTAATAATAATAATAATATTCCGCTTTTATATAGCGCCCGATACAACAATGTGCCTAAGCGCTTTACAGATATATTATTACCCCGGTCATCAGATTCAGGCTTACCCGCATACAATGTATGCACATTTTCCACTCCCTGGGGAGCATTCCAGCCAGTTGCCACTTGCTCATCCAACCACATGAACTTTTTGCATCCTACCGGGTACCCATTTAACACCTGGGTGGAGAGTAGCAAGTGCAGGTTAATATCTTGCTAAAGGATATTAGTGCCGTGTCGGGATTTGAACCCTCGACCTTCGCATATCCAGTCAAGCGCCTTAAACCACTCGACCATGACACTCCTGATGTGTACTTGATATCTAATGAAGATGTGAATGTAATGACTTGAAAGAAACCCAATATCATACACAGTTCAGATAGTGAGCCAGGGGTGTTTCACCAAGATCCTAAGTTTAACTTATCTCTAAGTTGGACTTAACATTTATGGAAAGCCATTAGCATCTATGAAAATATTTTGGAAAAATTTATTTGAAAAGGCATAGAATGTTGATTCAAATCATTCATATTTTCTATTATCAAGGAGATTCCATGTTCTTGATGTGGAATTTATAAAAAATCTAAAATACTTGAATTTTCACTTTTTAATATATTTTATTTTAAGGCTACAAATGGCTCTCCATAATTTTTAAGTCCAACTTAGAGTTAAGTTCAACTTAGGATCTTAGTGAAACACCCCCTGGTTTCAAAAGAGGTTCAAAGTGTTCAGCAATTTATAAATGGAGATTGCATGGGAAGGGGTCTAGGTAAATAACTATGATAATATTCAATTGCTTTTTTGTTGTATAAAAAGACCCCATAGTCATTGTCAAATTAGTGCCAATAAATGCAAGAAATCATAATGACATAGACACATTGAATGTTGCCACAGTCATTGGTTATGTGATAAAAAAGATAAATGTGCATCTTTGTGCATAATTTACTTGGTATGAATGATTCGAATGATGCAGAAACAACCCAACTTTAACGGCTTGCATGAAATCAATCTCACTGAAAAGCATAACTCTCATTGACTCATGAGATATGAGACTACCTCTTATGACCATTTTTTTGGAGGGGGTGGGGGAGGAGGAGGAGGGAGGGGGGCTATAATACATGGGCTTCCCTCTATTTCTTCGCTCATTACATGGCTGTTATACTAAGCTAAGCTAAGCTGTCACCGTGTCTCTAAGGACATTGGCTCCACAAACATATTCAAACATTTTGTCCTATCTTGTACAATTATATATATGCCTTCTGGAAGGTGCTGCCTACGAGACACATTAATATCAAAACTATTGGGAGTTATGATTTATTCATAGTCATTTTTCATTTAGTATAATTTTAATTTGATTCTGTGAAATTTTATCCCCCCGGCATTTCCAGAATAAAACATTAACTAAAATTTGGCATATCCAATTCATGTGGTCTCATGCAATATTTTAAGGTGCGAGGCCATAGCAGGCATTTTGCTTACATTTTATGAGTTTTCTTAAAATTAAATACCCCTAGTTAGGACTAATGCTCCCTATGAGAAACAGTGGTTCTAAATTTCCTTACTGGTAATTGTTGAGGGAAAAATAGGTCGGATGGTGGTTGAATCAAATTTAAAGGTACTATGTTCCATTTGCAGGCCAAAAAATGAAAAGGTTAAATTCCAACGGCATTTGAAAGACCATACTAATTTAGAACTTCCCTTAAATAAAAGGGAGCTTGAAAATGTCTTAAAGTGGGAAAATAATGACTATTGTCAAATCGACTTAGGAGCTATAGAGCCAGTAAGTAATAGTCTCATTTTTCAGACCATTGCACCGAATGGTCGTATGTTTTATGCTGCGCAAAGATTCAATCAGTTTAATTTTGGCCATTACAAGAAGTGGGTTATTGATGTAGACAAATGCTCATGTACCCTTTACAGCTCACTTAATATGTATGTTATTACCAAAGATGAAAAAAGCCAGTCAGTCACTCAATAGTGTCTGACATTGAAGTCTAGCAAGTGAACGGGTTTGCTTGCATAATTTGAATATTAGGACCCTGCTCAAGTTTAAATTTCACAGATAGGACATGCATAACATATTCATAATTCCTGCAAAGTCCTACAGAATTTGATGTTGGCTGCAAAAGAGACATAGTATCTTAAAATTACACAGCATCTGCTTGACGCTGAATAAACAGCATGTCCTTCACATGCTGTTTTGATCCATTCATTATTCATTGTCCGTCCAAGTGTAAAAGTACAGAATCAGTAAGAGCAATAAATAGAAATAGGTTGCCAATTTCTTCCTCGTCGACATCCTTCATTGCAAATGCCAGCCTTGATCAATTTCCTGACCCCTCATGCTAATCGCAAGTCATTTTGCATCCAATTTTGACGGACATTTTTTTAAACCTTAAATCTGCTTTCTCTCGAGCTTTCTGGAAGGATGCTAACAGAAATAAACTCTACCTCATATATTCACATTTACTGTACTCTTTGAGTTTTTCCTGTGATTTTTAGTCTTTTACAAAGAATAATGAATCAAATGTGGCAACTAATGTTTCATATCAGACTCATTTTGATTAAGAGAGTGTAAAAGGTCATCCCTTTTGAACTTTGAGGTAAATGTACAGTTTGAACGAATTCACAAATTTTATATTTCATGGAAAAAAATGGTCTCAATAATTTGTAAATCGAGGTGAGATGAAAACTGAGTTCCATTTTCTTGGCTCTTTTACAATAGTTGAATAATTGTTCTTATAACCGACATAAATGTTTCTCTTTTTATTCACCATATACTCCACATAGTTTTGTCCTTCCATCAATTTTTATCTTACTTAGTGATGAGGTTGCCTTCAATCCTTTGATATTTTACCATTTGTCACTTCATACATAATACATACTTAGACTTTTAGGGATATATTTAGTGTTCTGATACTCAAAAAATCTGTTTCTGCTCTGAAAATAGAATTGTTCGGTCAAGATTACCTATGAATTAAATTAAATGCATACCAATCACTTATGTATTCCTGAAAGTGAATGGAATAAATGGTTGAAATAAAAAGATATATTTAATTAATTTAATTTTCTCTGGCAATCAGAGCAAAGGGCTGAGAAATCCTTAATTTTTCTTCTACAATTTTTTACCGCCTCTCTCTCCCTTTTTCAACATGGACAACCCTCTCTCAGTCTTTTGGGAAGGATTAAATCATTCTACTCCATGGACTATTGTTCCCTGGTGAAATCAAGAAATTGGAGTTTTATATGATAGGAATGACTTCCAGTACAGTTACAGGATTTGGCTGAAATTTTAGCCGTGCTATTTATTTGAAAAGATGCATATCTGATGTATAAAATTAATACTGTTAATCTTTAAAATGATACTGTATACTTACTTTGATTATGTACAGTGCCAAAGCATAGATAAATGGAAGTCTCTCACGCCAGCTCTATTCTGTAGAGAAAATGAATGAATTTTTTCAATAGAATAATTTGTCCTTGAGAAATTTAGAAATGGCAGATGTTTAGCCATCTTTAATCAATGACATTGTATTTATGGATGAACTAAAAATGGTATTCAGTTTCTTGAATTCATTCCTTTCTTATCTTGAACTTTCAATGATTTACCCAGAATATGAGACAGTGTGTAGATTATATTTCGTAATTTAATATTTTCAGAATTCCTGTGCATTGTTTTTCTGCACAGAGGCTTACCTCATAATAATATCAATGGGTATCACATTACATCATGTATATTCAATGTAGATTCTAATGTTAAGTTCCCTGAGAACATTGATATTGTCTTTATTTTCACTGATGTAGCAATATGATCACGTCTTCAGATTTCACTCAATGTGTAGCTGTATAGAAGAGCTTGAGAATGCCTCCCTTGAATTTTTGAAAATAGAACAAAATGTCAAAATAAAAACTTAGATTTTGCTGTAATCATGCTTTTGATATGATAAATATTTAGGAATTGCTAAGACCAGTGAAATTTTTTCATCAAGTTAAGTCTTTAGATGTATTCTTGCATTATAAGTTCATTGATATAAATTTAGAAATTGGTTAAGTTTTTAAAGATTCATTTAAACTGCCTTACACTTTTCCATATATGTCTATTAGGTTGTCTGGTTTTAAAACGCATTTTCACTATTTTCAACAAAAAAATTGGTTGTATTGTCTCTAATGTAGTTTGTGAATTTTGGCTCTCTGTTTCAGTGATGTAGTAGTGTATTTTTGTATGCATATAAAGAAAAGAGCTTTTTGATATCAATCTATCATTTCACTTCCTATATCATCCAACACAGCACTTTGATCAGGTGTTGGGACGAGCGGCCTCTCTGATTGGGGCAACCTTCCTCCTGACCTGTCTCCTAGCCTTATCCTGTCTGGAGTTCATCGTACCTCGCTTCTCTTCCCCCCTGGCCCTCTTCCTCTGGCTCATCCTCCTCATCTCCACCTACACCATCCAAATCATGCGCCCCGCCCATGTACCTACCGATGGGGTGGGGCTGGTTCTCTTTACCACCCTCGCGGTGCACACCATGTTACCGGTCTCTCATATCGTTGCGGTGGTGATCGGCGCCCTCACTTGTCTCCCTCATGTCATTCTTTCGGCGATTCTTGGCAGCCATGATGAACCCATTGATAAATTATTAAAGGTAAGAAGACAGACAATTTGTAAATAACTGGTGACATAATACGACATATTGATACAAACATAAACATGTGGGTTCAATGATAGTTATTCATAACAATAGTATCAATTATAATGTAAATTCTATAGCTAGTTCCAATCACTAACAATTATTTGTAATTTGAGTTATTGTTTATTTATTTGTGTTGTCTTACTGTATTTTTTTCATATATTTGTTTCAAAACAATAGCAATAAAATAATATATCAAAATATATGAACTATACCATATCCTTTACATATTTGATTGTAAAGAACGACTGTCTTGTAAGATAAACCTGAAAGTGATTATTCCAAGGTTTTGTCTCGGAGCTACAATATAACTAAACAAGGAAATTTGCTGACATTTAAAAAAATGAAGATGTGCCTCAGGTATTGATTATTTTGTTTGAGCTATCCATTGTTAGAAAAGCTCAGTTATTTGATATAGTTTACATAGAATTCTCTTTTCTTTTTTTTTAATTTCCAAAGTTCATCCCATATTTTCTATAGTACTCATGTGTGACTTTTAGTTGTTATTGTGAAGATATTGTATTTCTCCACGAGGTCCTCTTATCCTCATGCTAGATTTAGATTGAAATGCATGAAGTCTCCAAGCAAATATGGCGTGCATGTATAACCTTTCTCTTGAAGAGAATCGATCATTACATGTAATGTGACATCCAAAATGCCTTTTGCCTTGACATTTATAAAGAAGATTTAAGGATCATTTCAGATTAGCATTGCATCTATAACTGTTAAAAGATAGATTGTATCCGTCAGTTGATAAAATATATTCTTTATTTTAAGAGGGATTTCGATCCCTTCCCCTGAAAGAAAAAAAAATGTAAGTTTAAAATGATAATCATCAGATTTTTAAAACAAAATAGTTCTCCTCTGCTAAATATATGGTAAAGAGATTTATGCTCTTAACTTTTAGTCTTGATGAATTCATAAGAAATTGGTAAAAGTGATAGAAAAGGCCTATTTGAACCTATAAAAGCTTTAATTATTACACACATTTATGTACACTGATCGTTTTGGTCCTTTATAAACAACTTTTAGTCTCTTCTTCAATCTTGACAGTTCCCTTTGAGCGTAATCTCAAGTTTAGAACTCTACTTTCTTTAGGTGAATGAGACATTTTAGAGAAATACCTGACAGAAAAGTGATTCAGGAACTTACCATGCTTGTTTAATGTGCAACCTAAATCTTGTGTCTAAAATACGTCATCCCAAGTGTGTTTCTTGGTGGATCAATTTCTTGTTTCATTCAGAGACAGCTTGCATTGAAGTGTTTTTGGAGGACATTGACTCCATCTAATGATACCATTTTGATAGGTCAAGCCTTTCATGAAGAGGGCACTTCATTCGGTTGAGAGGGATTAGAGCCTTGGATCCAACACACCTCTCTCTCTTGCATTAAACATGAAGACCCATGGAGAGACCCCTTTTATCATGTATCCCTCTACCAACCATACCCACGATGCAACTCAATTACCCAGCAGGCATGTGCAGGGAAGCACGCAGCGCTGATCCAAAGCATAGATTAAATGTCGATTTAAATGTTTTGGACCCAGAGGGCGATGACAAAGAGCATAACCTGTGGATTAGTATTACTAGACGAGGGATATTAAACTCCAGTAGTCCTCAAAGACGAGTATCAAGGACCGTCTCTCGGATGCAAAGTATTCTGGGTGCGTCTGAGGGAGGGAATACCAAGTGAAAACAATCTCTCATTTATCGAATTTGGGCATTGATTTCATGTGCCTAAAGAGCTAATTTTAAGTTCCCCCACCACCAATGTCTCAACTATTGAAATTGCATGAGTGCAAACTTTTAAATCAATAATTGGTTTCATTTTTCTCGATATGAAACATTTTATTTCTAAATTGTTATTCATCTGCTGAAGGCCAAAAGGATGTTAACACATGTAAAAGTAAGGCATATGAGATAACAACATACTGGCTCCAAGCATGCAGACACTATTTTGAACTTATTTTCAAATATAGAAATTAACTAGATTATCTGTAATAATGATTAAGAAGTAATTATGAAAACAATTATCCCATTCTTCTAGTATTTTCTGATGAGAGACTGTAGATTTTCAAAGCCAAAGACAATCATTAAATTTTAAACCCACGAGTCTTTGTCTTTAAAGTTTTTAAGTGTTTATTGATTTCCCTAGAATTCTCTTATGCCTCAGTCACACCTTTGCGTATGATGCTGTGATGAGGCGAATGATGTTTATTTATTAACGTTATGAAGCGCAGCGAAGGTGGTAGGTGCTAGGCAACTAATCGCAGTGAGAGAGAGAGCTAAAGCGAACGGCGTACGAGCTAGACTCGCAACAGTTCTTGCTGCTGCGAGTGGTAGGCGAGCAACAGCGCAACAATACGCGCAATCATGCGAACGACAACGAGCTCTGGCGAGGTAAATCGTGCAGGGAACGCAGCTATAGGCAGTGACACGCGCTAAAAAAAAAAGAGGTGCGTATGGTTGCGTATACTTGCGCTAAGCCACTCGCTGTTGCTCGCATTCACTGGTTGCCAGTCGTATCCGCTCGTAGGTGATTTGACCTTGTGGTTGCTTGTGATAGTTTAGAAATTTTTAAAACTAGCGAGTGGCAAACGCAGGCCTTTGCGCTAGTCTGCGTATTGAGTACGCAGTGAGCACGTTTTGTTGCGCTTTATTGGGTATGACTGCCTATGTCTGCGTTAGGGCAATACGCAGCAATACGCAAGCCCAATACGCAAAGTTGTGACTGAGGCATAAGGGCACCCTCACGATATGACACAAGTGACTTCTGCGCATTGTGGTGATAATTTTTTGTCTTATTCAACAATTGCCAGAATATTAATTTTGATATTTAAGGAATGATAAAAAATAATGAAAGAAACTAACTTGTCCGCTTATTTTTTCAGACCAAGAAATTTAAAGGGATCTTATAACAATGATAAATCTGAGATACACTGCCCTACGTGTTATCAGTGTCTGTGATATGGTGTAATATTGAAGCCCTAAAAAATTGCGCTTTAAAATGATCAAGAAGTGCCTCAAAAAAGTAAAAATCTTTGAGTGACCGGTTTTACCATACTCATTTTCCCCAATAGACTGTAGTGTTATGAAAACCGTTTGGTAAACGGTTTTCAAAATTTGTAATTCCAATCATAAATATCTTGATAATCAGACAGGCGATCGGCTTGTAAAAGTCATGGGGTTCCTGACTGACCTAAAGGTTTTTAATTATCATTGCAGCATGAGCTAAATCCAGAACTTTGTTTCAGAATCTGAGACAAAGTAACCGGATCCCTTCAAATACAATCCACTTCATGTTTCTGTTTGTACATTTGTCTCTGCTCTCGTCCTCCAAGGTTGAATATATCTTTGTATCCTTATCCCTGAAAGCAGTTTCTGTTTCCTGTATGAAAGAATCATATCTTCAATAGTTTTGAAACTAAGTTTTCTATGGGTTCACCTTCCATGAGCTAATAATGGTGACAGTGCTCTGTTTTTGTTCTTTGTTTGAAATATTTATTCAAGTCATTTTGGTTGGATATGGTTTTATTTTCTGTATAATGTATAATGATGCAGTGTATTGATTCAATGCTTTAGAGAGAGAGAGAGAGAGAGAGAGAGAGATAGGGAGAGAGAGAGAGGGAGGGAGAGAGAGAGAGAGAGAGGGAGGGAGAGAGAGAGAGAGAGAGAGAGAGAGAGAGAGAGAGAGATGAGTGAACAAGTAGTTTAATAAAGAATAGTTACCTACATCAACCAAATTATCTGTATTGTATAAGGTTTGGGAGGGATGGTACTAATAGTTGTAAAGGTAGTCTATACTTGATATTTACTATTTCATTTGTGAATATCCATGTTGAAAATGAATTCTAAAAAAGAAAAACAAGATTACATATGTTGTAACAATACAATGCAGAATTCCTGTCATATACTGACAAGTTATTATGATAATCAGATTTGTTCGGTTATTTTCAATGGGCTACATATAGAATTCTTATTGAAAAGGAACATTTAAATATTTCATTCACTAAATGTTAACGTTTTAGCAGTACTCTTTCTTACTTTCTAAACCAGAGTAGTAGAAAAATGAACTGATGTTTAGATGTATCTCAGAAGTATTTGCCTCTCTGTACTTGTTTGGTCTGTATTAATAATGAAATGCTTTGCCACAGACATATTTTGTCTTTTCATCCATGAAAGGTTTCCTGTTGGCACTAATTTGAGATTAAACATTTGCTTCAACAAAATCAATGCAAGCGCTTATGTGTCATCAGCTTGCATGCCATGAAATAGACAAATGATATTGATTTGCCTACAGCCCTAATCGATTGAGATATGAAAGGAAATATGAAGCATGTCAGAGAAAAATTTGAAGCTATGTGAGAAATCAAATGATTTATTGAGGTTACTCTTGTGAGTGTTCTCTGCCCTGTCTGAATGCTAAGTGCTCCAGAAATGTCTTTGATATAAAGATAAATTGCCACGTTGAATAAAGCCACATGGTTCAATAATATATGTGTACTTCATTTCCCCCCCTTGGATCTCCTTGGATACACCCGATTGCAGAACAAACCTTTTGTGTAATCTTATACTGTTCTTCTGCCCTTAAACACCTGCCATTTTACAAAATCCTTGTATGACATCTGTAGGGATTTTTAAATGTGGAATATCTCAGATTCAGAAAGAATTGTGTGTATTGGCATTTATATTTCATAGATTTGTGCAGTCATCAATTCAAAAGCAATTTTTGTATAGAGGAAGTTAAATTAAGAGAAAAAGGAATGTTGGCCATCTAACACTGTGACCCTTTGAGTTTTGAGATTCTGGAGACAGGCTTTCATGAAGTTTGAAGTTTGAAATTTTATTTATTCCACATTTTACTTGGAAAAACAATTTATATTCTTTTTTTTAATTCTTTTTTATACAGAAAGAGTTTACTGTGTTCCCATTTTTGATGTATAAGGGAAATGGAATATCAAATTAATTTCAAATTAGTAGACAGTGGATGAAAATGGAGGGGAAAATTTGACAACACAATAAGTCATACAAATATGAAAATATAATAAAACTGTACGTTGTTCAGTGTTCTTCCAAAACCAGTCCTAATTGTAGAAAAGGGTGTGTGAAAATGCTCAGAGAAGAAGAGGATAAGATAAAACATTAAAATATCAATATTTCTGGATATTGAATTAATCATACGTTGTTGTTCTGATCTCTTCCACAACAGATCCTAAGTAACATAGTGATGTTTGTCTGTGTGAACTTCATCGGTGTGTGTCACAAGCATCTCCTGGACGTGGCCCAACGCAGGACTTTCCTGGACACAAGGAGCTGTATAGAGTCCAGGATAAAACTAGAGCATGAACAAGCACAACAGGTTGGAATGATTTCTCCATTTGTCTGTATGTATTGTATGCCTGATTTCGGGTTGTTGCAATGTTTATCTCAAAAGGAAACTTTGTTTAAAGAAAATAAAATGTGAACTCTATTCCAATCACAACCAGGAATCTTGTTTAATTTCCACCTCTTCTTCAGTTCACATACCTCCTTAGCCCTCTATTTGCTGGAGAATGAAACTGTAGACTGCAAAAAATTGTTTGGAGTGTTATGTTCCATATATATTGCACTGTGTGAAAGAGGTTGAACTTGGTAATCTACCGTTCTATTGGTTAACAAAAGCAGGTAAATAAAGAGTTAAGAATTTTTTGTTGTATTAATTGATTTGTTCATCAACAACAGTAACAATGAATGTACAAAATATGTCTTTATGATATTTATTTTTTATTTAACATAATGAATATATATGCTAAAGGATGGTACATGGGACCAGAAAATGGCCAAGAGTTAGTTGGTTTAGAGTCAGTTGGATGTGTTTTGGGTTGGGTGGTGTTTACTATTACCACATTGTTTCTTCTTCTTGTTGATCCTAACCAGGAGAGGCTATTACTATCAGTGCTACCTGCACATCTTGCGTATGAGATGAAGACGGAGATGATGGCGAGGGTACGAGACCCCACCATGAGCCCCATCTCACATCGCCCTAGCAGCAGCACGCACTTCCACAGTCTATACGTCAAGAGGCATAAAAATGTCAGGTAATTGCAGCATATTGTTCCCCTTTCGTCTCAGGCATGCATGTATTTTGATTTCTTCTCCATGCCTAATAACAAAAACAGGAAGAAATACCAAATGAAATTCAGGGATGCGTAAAATTAGTTGTGACACTTTGCTGATGTGGTAAAATAGATCGTAGTAGTGACTCTGTACCAGTACTGTTTTTCATGTGTTCTGCAGCTTTTTATAAGTGATGTATCAACCTATACCTCATAATTTCCACAGTATCTTATATCAATTTTTTGTGTATGTTTTTCCTTAATTGCAAAATTAGCAAGCTATGATAGGGATGAAAGTTGTTCTTCTTTAAAACTGGTTTAATTTCTGCTGAACACATATGAAATATTGTGACACACCATATTATAAAATATTTATGAAAGGGAAGTAAGTTTTAAAGCTTTTTATTTAGTAGGAATCATCACTAAAAAGAGTAAGATGCACCAAAGAATGATAAGATACAATGATTATCTAAATCTAAATAGTAAATAGATGGAAAGCATTCAATGAAAAAAATATTTTCATTTTCCAGCATACTCTATGCAGACATTGTCGGATTTACTGCTCTAGCTAGTGAATGTTCTCCTCCAGAACTCGTCAAAACTTTAAATGAACTCTTCGGAAGATTTGATCAACTTGCAGAGGTGAGCCATTCATGATTAATTTGTTGCTTATATGCTCTTATTGTTATTGAGAGTATGGGATGTATAACATATTATATACCTCACTTAAGAAATCCAGCCATCTGATTGGTCGAATTGCATTCATAAACTTCAACTGTTCCTGTAAAATTCCCGGTAACCATGCATAAAACATTTACTATTTTTAATAACCATGGTTATTAAAAAAATAGGTCAGCCTCCATGGTTACCCCATAGGTTTACATGTTAAAAAATGGTTTGAGCGATCGAGGATACCGTATGTGTGCGAAGGATTGGTCGGTAATTTCAATACAATTGAATCTCGATCGATCTTACCGACAATTTTATCTTGCATTGTTGACATGAAGACGAAAATAAACTTCCAAAAACAAAAAAACAACATCTGCCGATAGATCTTGATCTAAGTTCGTGCCAATATGCATTGCAAAAGTAAAAGAAGGGTGCTTTTGCGAAGCATTCATCACGCCGAAGCCGGTTTCAATCCACTTTAATGTATATATTGTACAAAACTGCCAAGCTCGTGAACAGCGCGCGATGGCCGAGTGGTGTAAGGCGTTGGTGTAAGATTCATCACTCATTGTACGCGAGAGTTCGACTCTCACCTTCGACAAAAAAAAAATTATTTTTTATTTTTTATTTTTTAGTCTATTTTTTTTCGGCATATAAAAGTATTAATGACTGCTTTAATATTCGAGAAATAGTTGTTTTCATACGCTCTCGGGAAGGTTACAATTGGGCTATTCCCCTCGGCAAGCCTCGGGGAATAGCACAATTCTAACCTTCCCTTGAGCGTAATAAAACAACTATTTCTCTCAAAGCAGTCATTAATACTATACTGTTTTATTTTTCAAAATGATAGTAATTATAGATTACTGAAAATATCTTTATAATTGGCCTTTTTGAAATAATTAAGCTAAGATCAAATTCCCTTTTTTCCTGTTCATTAAAGGTTAACAATTTTAAAATCAAAATTGTCTATTCTATAAAAAAAATTTGTTTGACAGATTTGTTTTTTCTTTCTATTTCTTGGACTTGTCTGCCTTTACTTTTCAAAACTGATCTTTTGACTGTGTGCTTGCGTTATTAAAGGTCCATGTAACATATTTTTTTTAGGCTATTTAATTATTACCCTTTGACAGACTTTCCATTCTCTCAAGTGTTTAAAACTAGGATATATTATGTTCTAGTTAGAATTCTTCAGAGATCAGATTTGTTGGAATTTGCAAAAAAAATCTGTCTCCCAACAGTCGTCAATTACGTAGAGAGTGTAATAGTTATTTTGAGCATTAAAACAAATAAAAAGAAAGAGAAGAAGAAGACACAGGAGCAAGTGATTGTTAAAGAAGATTATGGCTAGCCAGAAGGTAGCAATCTCACTTCTCCCAGGGATGAAGAGAGTATGATGGAAGATAAATATCTGGATGAGGAGGAGACCTTGTGAGATGACGGAAATACCTTTAGAAATGGCTGACAACAAACATTGCAGCATGTTTCCCTTACTTTGATTGTTGAGAGGCATAAGGATGTAACCCATTCAGGGTTCCACATTTTTGGCTAAGTAACTTTTGTTTAATCGCCTACCTGAACCAAGTGGTCCCTCTATAAAGCCTATGAGAATTGGAGAATTCAGTAGTCAAAGGGATAAGTGCATGGCTTGAAATATACCAGAAGCATGATACAAATGGAAATATTTCTGCACATATTGTGTCCATTTTATGACATCACCATATTGCATTTGACGCCAGGAATTTAAAACAGGGTAAATAAGCTTTAAATTCTTTAAACTGGCAACTTATCATGATCAAGAATATAAAAATCATTGTTTTTGTAACAAATTGTGCATTATTCAACTTTTTGACAAAGTGCCTAGTTATTTATTTGGATTAAGAGACATATATTTTATTAGGGAAATGAAGCGATAAAAGAAAATATTTTGTTGCCAATTTAAAGAACCAATTGTGATCAATGTAGCTCTTTAAAAAATCCTCTTCCCTGAAAAGTACACTTCAAGTATACGTTAAAGCCGTTGTGGCTCTCTCTTAAAAGACAAGAAGAAATAGCTGGTTTTGCAGTGGGTGCTGGGATGGAATTAAACTAGAAACCATAAATTTTGTCTACTTTTTATTTCAATCCTACTTTGCATCATCCCTCTCTTCTCCAAAAAATCAGATCCACAGGCCAATTGCAACAATTTTTAAGCCCACCACATGCTATATGATCCAACTACAATCTGATTTCGGAAGAATTTGCAGTAGAATTTGATACAAATGTTCAAACACGTAAAATTTCAAGGGATTTCATGTTTCCTTGAAAGAGGAAAGGATCAGCTCAAATTTGAAGTGACGTCAGAACAGTAATAGTGCGATTGTCTACGATTTCATTCAGCTTTTATTCTGACTAGAAGTGTTCAATGGACTAAAAATGTGTTTCCTATCTCATTTGAATTTCTGATTTCTTTAAATACCAGATTGCAGGCCGACCATGTAGTGTGCATAAGGCTTAAGACTCTGGGTAGAAAATAGAATTTAATGATGCGGTGTTGCTATAACAACTGGATGTACAAATAGCACGATGGATCATTGATTAGATTTGTGGTTTAAAAATGATATGGGTTGATTGTGCTTCAGAGTTGAAAAAGAATTAAAAAATGAAAAGAATCATTAGAAAGTACAGCAGAAAGAGGGAGAGAGAGAGAGAGAAAGAGAGGGGGGGGGGAGAAATTAAGATGAAGATGAAGATGAAAATTCTGTCGTTAAAAATGTGATATTTGTCAGATACATTGATGAGTATCTGGCATAGAAAAGAACTGCCTTTGTGAAACATGATTGTTGTGATTTTCTCCTAACGTAGTCTTGTAGGCCCTACTTTGAATGCAGAAGGTTTTCTTCAATGTTCAAAACAATCGTTTCATAAATTGTACTTACCGGTAGTACTTATTATCTAGTCATATTTATGATATAATGAAATGATTTCAGGGCAGATTTAAAGGAAGATGTCAAATTCTCCCTGATGTATTAAAGTTATTTCATAAATGCAGTCAATTGTGCACACATACATTTTGATACCCACTCAATGCCGGTTCGATATGGAGAAAGGAAGTGGGAAAATTTGAAATTTTGAACATGTCCAAACTTTTCTTGAGCCTTTTTTGTCGTCAATCCGTTTCCTCTAAAACACACAGAAAACCCAGCCTAGCTATTTCAATGTCACTATAGATTCAATTCATATCATGCATTCCCGGATTGATGTCAGCTAGTCTCTCCGGTTTCACATCGAACTGAAAATGCATGGGCTCAACATATTACTGGTGTGACCTAGGCATTATTTACCATCACATTAAGGATAAAGACCAGTAATGGTCATGCGATTGTATTGTGAAAGAAACGTTGTGGAATCGATCAGAAAAGGTTGATCATCTAGCATATAAGTATTGTTGTGTACTGCAAGGTTCTGGAATCATCAAAATGATTAGAAATTTGGCCCAGTCTTCGTAAAATTACAAGCACTGTACACAGAAAGATGTATATGGGACTATATGCACACATGCGCGACACGTGTGTTTATCTCTCACACACCAATAGATAAACTTATTTACCAAATATATCAATTAGTAGGCGGTTTCCCGGCAAAATTTTTATCATCATGTATTAGCTAGTCAAAACATATTCTTTCACATGATTGGTAATAAGAGCTACCATTTCATTTTTTGAAATTGGGGCGTTTCCAATACTGGTCCTTACCTTTAAAGTAGATGTACTCTTCTATTGTTCAATTTTGCAGGAATTTGACTGCATGCGGATCAAGATTTTAGGTGACTGTTACTACTGTGTATCAGGCCTCCCTATATCCAGGCCCACTCATGCTATCAACTGTGTGGAGATGGGATTAGCTATGTGTGAAGCAATCAAGTTAGTATACCATTTTCATTCTTTATAAGTTTTTTTGTGTGATGCGATCAGTGTAAAGATTTAGGCCCGAATTTATAAAGGAGGCATTTCGATGCGTTTCAAACCAAGGTTCAGACAAATATGGTTTGAAACGCATCGAAACGCGTCAAATGACACACATAAACCTAGGTTTGTCGACAAACCTCCTTTGTGAATTCGGGCCATGATGTTTGTGTGCTTCAGTATACAGTCATATTTTAGTTGAAGCTGTCAGAGAATCATGAAGCCGTGGTTGAAATGTGGAAAACAGAAAATTATAAAATGTGTAAACAAAATCATTTCATTCTCTATTTCTTTCTTTCTCCACAATATATATTTTGTTTTCTCGATCCATACATGTATATGTTCCTGTGTCCCATTTGTTTTGTCTAGAGATACTTGATTCAATGTTGTTGTTTAAGCATTTACATGGATATATTAGATGGCTCTTACAGATAGATACAAAGTTGTGATTGGTCCACGGCTCATCATGTGATATCGATTGCGAGGATCATAATGACCATCTTTCACTCCCGGGCTCCATTATTTACTCTATAAATAAAAAAAACTTCAATAACCATTGCTTTTGTCATTATCCATAAGCCATAACAGTGTTATCAATAATCAAGTAGGGAGAATAAAAACTTGATAATGGGGCAGAGTTGAGCTTGGGCTCTCCTCATCATCTGCTGAGGGTCAGTAGGACATTAACTCTGTGTAACAGAATAAGATGCAGCTCCCCTTTGGCTCTCAATAGACGATATTACTACTGAGTAGTATGCGAGATCAAAGATGGTAGATGAAATAGATTATACTTCGTCAACCTAGATCACATCCTGCAGGTATAAAGAGTTGATTTATTCTACTGGATATCACTGTCATTAGTGTAGACAGCTTTATATCTAAAGCCAGGGCGCCTTTGCATCTCCCACCTTGCTATCTCTCTCTCTCTCTCTCTCTCTCTCTCTCTCTATCTCTCTGTTTTTCCTTCTGTTTCTCCCTACATATATATATATATATATCATTCTCTCTTTACTTTCCCTTTTCTCTCTACCTCCTCTTCTCTCCTCTCTTTCTTATTCTGTACTATTCCTGTCTCTGTATAACACTCTGTCTCTCTACCATGATCCTTCTCTATATAACTCCTCAAGGTTTCTCTTTTTCTTTCACTCCTCAAGGCTCTCTTACTCTCTCCCCCTCTCTTTATCTGTCTATATCTGTCTCCATCCACCCCCTAGCCATCCCTCTTTCTCTCTATTTCCTTTATCATCCTCTCGCTGTCTTACTCATGTAATGAGTAAATGATATATCACTTTGTGCTGATAGGATAATGTCTGTTCCACATTAAAATCTATCTCTCGATCATTTCTCACTTCTGGCAATATTAGCCCAGATGTCGGCAGTAAATATACTTCTTGATGTCTCCAAAAGATGTTTCTATGGTTAACAGGAACTATTTCAAGACACATGATACTAGATTAGTCCAAATTTGGGATTTAAATGGGTGAGGTGAATGTGCCTCAACAATAATGTTGCCAATTTAAGCTTTTACTGCTGATATCAGATTAAATTCAATGTAATGAGGTTACAGGCTGATGCTCAGGGAATGTATTGTTTTTGTGCTCTGATAGAACATGAAAAGCTACTGGAATAATTTTTTAAATATTTTTTTTTTTACTGTTTCCCACTTCTTGGAAAATTCCTTTCTTTCTGATGGTGTAAAGATTCCAGAAGAGACAATAGTTCAAAAGATTACTTCTGTAGATTTAACCTGTTATCATTGGATATGTGTGTTTCTTTCTGTTTTTAATGATAGAATCAGTCCAAATATTAATAATCAATCAATTATTTCAAGCTTGTTTAAATTGAATGTATACAAATGATCTTTGTAGGACTGTTCGTGATGCTACGAGTGTTGATGTAAACATGAGGGTCGGCGTTCACACAGGGAATGTTCTCTGCGGAGTGCTTGGTCTCAGGAAATGGCAGTATGATGTATGGTCACATGACGTCACTTTAGCCAATCACATGGAGAGCTGTGGTGTGCCTGGGTAAGTTTTCTGCTTTGATATTTGAATTTGACATTTCATTCAGGAAAGCTTGGTACATGAAGGAGGCGAACATCAATGTGGTTGGATTGGCATGTGTGCTTGTAAAATGGTGCCTGGCTTGAATACTCCCCAGGGAGCAGAGCGTGTGCAGTATTATGTGCAGATTAGCAATTGAATACGATGACTGCAGTGATAATGATTATAACATAAAGCGCTTAGAAACATAGTATAAGTGCAATACAAATGTGACTATTATTGTTATCATGTAAATCTACCTCATTAATGGTTCTGAAAACAAAAGAGAAGTATATTTGTTCAGCTTAACTTAAAATCTTTATCCTTTTCACACTCCCTCTCCGTTCTGATATTCTCATCCATGTCATAGTATCTATCTATTCTTTTTATAAAATTTGAGGATACATATATTTTACTGGCTTTCCATTGTGGTCTTGGGTCTCTATTCTCAGTATAATTATACTTCTTTCTAAAGCAATGGGTATAGAGAGAGATATGTGTAAATATGTGAATATAGAGTAATAAATTTGCACTAAAATTGTTTTATGCAGCATATAGACAAATTTGCTACGTTCATATCTTCTATAGATCATCATATTACAGGAATTAGATCTCAGTGTGAACACGTTCATATCTTCTACAGATCATCATATTACAGGAATTAGATCTCAGTGTGAACACGTTCGTATCTTCTATAGATCATCATATAACAGGAATTAGATCTCAGTATGAACACGTTCGTATCTTCTATAGATCATCATATAACAGGAATTAGATCTCAGTATGAACACGTTCGTATCTTCTATAGATCATCATATAACAGGAATTAGATCTCAGTATGAACACGTTCGTATCTTCTATAGATCATCATATAACAGGAATTAGATCTCAGTGTGAACACGTTCGTATCTTCTATAGATCATCATATAACAGGAATTAGATCTCAGTATGAACACGTTCGTATCTTCTATAGATCATCATATAACAGGAATTAGATCTCAGTATGAACACGTTCGTATCTTCTATAGATCATCATATAACAGGAATTAGATCTCAGTGTGAACACGTTCGTATCTTCTATAGATCATCATATAACAGGAATTAGATCTCAGTGTGAACACATCCTTTCTTGAATAGCATGGGGACAAGTACGATATGAATACATGCTTGTCAACCATGAGGATTAACATAGGACTATTATTAATAAATGATCTTCTTTTTCTTAAATAATAATACACGTATATGTATCACATGAATGTAGCAATATATTGTGTAACTGGTAAATACAGCAATGCTTTCTCATCCGATTGCATCATGACTTGATATCTGTATCTTCTCCTGGAATCGGCTGTCATTATCAGACATTTTAATCTCAACTTAATTGATTTATAACTTCCCTTTTTCTCACCTCGGTCTCTCTCTTTCTCTCTCTCTCTCTCTCTCCCCCTCTCTCTCTCTCTCTCCCCTCTCTCTCTCTCTCTCTCTCCCCGTCTCTCTCTCCCCCTCTCTCTCTCTCTCTCTCTCTCTCTCTCCCCCTCTCTCTCCCCCTCTCTCTCTCCCCTCTCTCTCCCCCTCTCTCCTCCCCTCTCCCCTCTCTCCCCTCTCTCTCTTTCTCTCTCTCTCCCTCTCTCTCTCACACTCTCTGGCTCTCTGGCTCTCTCTGTCTCTCTCTGCTGCTCTATATCTCAATCTCTCTCTGCTGTGATATCCAGGCGTGTTCACATAACCCAAGCAACATTAGACAATCTTGGTTTGAAGTATGAGGTAGAGCCTGGGAGAGGTCATGAAAGGAGTGAATACCTCAGAGATATGAACATCGAAACATTCTTTATTGTTAATCCAAAGGTAATCTTCATTTCTAAATATCACACAAAATCACTTTCTTGGAAATTCGCTTACCTTTTTTTTAAATTACAAAAACATATTTAGAACTTTAAGATATTCATACTGTTAGCCATGTATTATTTCTAAAGACAAATGCTAACTAATGATGTTTAAACATTGGAAACAGTATCATAGTATCCATTTTTTGTGTTAAGGATTGATATTGAAATGCTTCTATATTCAGTTATGACAAGATTTACTTCTAAATTTGGATTAAACTTTATGCCGAATGTGTGTGTAGTCCCATAAACCCACATTCCAAAGTTGATTAATATGTAAAAAATTCATACTTCACATTTAGTTCTTCGTAGTACATACTTTAACATTCAGAATGACCTATAGGAAATATTTTTAACTGCAATTGTTGAACCAATACTCAACATCATCTCTGAGTAGGGGCCTGTTTCATAAAACTTGTTATCAATAACAAATGCTAAATTTCTATGACAAATTTGCTCTCAGCCAATCAGATGCCATGATTTCAGTAGCTTATAACAGTAGCTTGTAACTTGTTATTGATAACAAGTTTTATGAAACAGGGCCCAATAACTTTTTAATACTATCATCTCAGTCATCAGCAAACACAGTGGAGGAGACACAAGCCACGACCCTGGAGATAAAACCTAGGGGTAAAACATCACGTCGGATGGCCCAGTTCCTAGAATCCTGGTCCGGGGCTGATAAACCATTTCAACAGATTGCTACCATGCCTGTCCCAAAGTCTGTTGGTCTAACGGTGAGTATATATGAACACAGTGTGACCCGAAGTGTGGCCAAAGTGAGGATTTGAACCTTTTTACAGTGCTGACTATGTGAATGCCCTTGCTGTATTCACACTTTGTGACACATTATCTCCTCATGGAATCACAGTGTTTACACATAACAGTTTGAGCACATTTTTACTTTGGAATATGTTCATAGTATTAATGGTGTGAATGTACTGTGAACACAGAGGATCACAATTTAGGCAATCACAGCGTGACTACATGCAGAGTGGAATTGGAAAATGTTCACGTTTCTGACAGTGTTAACACACAGTAGCCTATGAGAGCCACAGTGTGTACTTCACTATGTAACAGCAGAGTGAATTTAGTGTGAAATAGCTTGTCAATGTGAATGCATTTTTGACACATTGAAGCGACGTAGAATCAGTGTTTACTCATCACAGTATATCACAGAACCACAGTTTATTGACCACAGTGTGACCACAGAGAACCACAGTATATTGACCACAGTGTGTCTAAAGAATGGATTTGGAACACTTCCATACCATCATCATTGTCAATATATACTGTGGCACAGATCACATATTGAATATATGGATCCCTATTGACTATGTGAAAACTCTGTGTTTATGCTGTAGAGTTTGGAATTTCTTTTACCCTTGAGTTGTAAGGAAATTAGAGTGTTTTTGTGAAATCAGAGTATTTCATAGTTAACTCAACGATATTGATCAAATTAATTTGGAGGCTGTGTGTTTTGCCTTCTGAGAATTTAATTTCACCAATGAATTCAAATTGATTTCTAGTTTGGTTAAATACATTATACATGTCAATATTTCCTTAGGTCCTAATGGAATTATGACTGTTTGTGCCATGCACGATTCAAACTACAAGCAGTGATAATAGAATATGGAATATTGATAACATGGAAAACATGTGTGTTGGGGGATTTATTGAGTAAGAAATAATTTGGTTTGCTGCTCTTGTTATCGTGGGGGAAACCTAGACAACTGAAGATGGATTAAATCAACTTAAAGTGATTGGTTTTTCTCATCCTCATGGTCCTAGTAACCACTATTCAGAAAGATAGACTTCTGCAAATATAAATAAAAGAAACAAAAATGAAAAGCTATGAGGCACTTGAAAACATACTTCAAATACTCTTTTTTTTTATAAATGTTTGTACAGTTGTTATCCTATTTGTTTTGATCTTATTTCAGTTAGAAATATTAGGACTTGCGGGTAAAAAAAGCTTTGTCTGGCGGGGTTTTGTTTATAGCATATTGTGGTAAGGGATATTTCCTTATGCTGTATATATTTACCAAATTGAAAGAAGAATGAGCTGAGGCAGATATCAAGACAGAAAGAAGGATAGAAGGCATATGTGAGAGGCATAAAGATACTCATGGGGAGGGAGGGAGGGAGCGAGGGAGCGAGGGAGGGAGGGAGGGAGGGAGGGAGGGAGGGAGGGAGGGAGGGAGGGAGGGAGGGAGGGAGGGAGGGAGGGAGGGAGGGAGAGGGGGAGGGAGGAAGGGAGGGAGGGAGGGAGGGAGGGAGGGGGGGGGAGGGAGGGAGGGAGGGAGGGAGGGAGGAAGGGAGGGAGGGAGGGAGGGAGGGGGGAGGGAGAGGGGGAGGGAGGGGAGAGTGGGAGAGAGATGAAATTATTGAGGAGATGCCTATATGGATATAAAATTGTATATGTAACTATATTATGGCTATGCTCGACACTGCTTTTCTGATACATGATTTGATCTGTGTCACATTAACACATTCTCTATTCTTTATATTTAAAGGGTATCTATGCCATGAATGCTTGCCTTGTTCCTTTCACACTTATGGATCATAATACAAGGTGAGAAATTAAAGAATGTTGTCTTCTTTTAATTCTTTAACTCTATAAATATACTACAAACAAGTTTAAGAAATAAAGTATTTATTATTATTAAACTATTCACACAGATTTTTCACAGTTAACTGCTTCAGCAAAAAGCTCCCATCTCTTAAAGCATTCTTGCTCAATTACTAAGCCTCTCAGATAGGATGTGAAGCTCTATATCACTTGACTATTTTTCTGAAAATCATTTTCACTACCGGTATATATCATCATCAACATTCAATTAAATACTTATAACAAAAATATGAGTGTTTTACCCAGCTTTCAGCTGAGATAAAACAATGAGCCAACTTTGGTATTCAATTGAAACTTTTACCCTAAGTTTAAGGCAGCTCAAGAGCAGACTTAAGTCAATTATTTGGGAGGCCTTTATTGGCAGGCATATGGTTATTATATGCAATCCTAGTATGCTGTGCACATTTATATTAGCACACAGTGAATATGACTCGTTAATTGCACATTGTTTGGGAGAGACAATGTGATACCACAGTGCTTATGGATAAGTATTCTACCTTAAAGTTGGCTTACTGAAGTAAAATAATGAGATATAATCAGAATACGAGATAAGACATATTACTTAACAAAGCAGATTGCTAAGCATAATACTGACTAATAATCAAAATACTGAATTGAATACAACCCCTAGTATTTTCAGTCATTGGAAGCTGAGCATACTTGACTTAATCTATCATACAAAAAAATTGACTTAAATAGCATATCATACATCATTTTCTGCCAATTATCAAAGAAATATACAATACAACAAGAGAAATTTTTGTATCACAAAGACAGGATGAATTGTGATAATGTATTATTTGTTTGATGTGTCCGTAACCATAGAGACAATGGCGTCAATACAGTATGTCCAATTTTTTTCAGAATCCATCGTCAATCAATCATTTTTGATAAAAGAGTCAATGAGAGAATGGTTGAAGCCATAGAAGCAATTAACTCCAGGAAGTAAGTTTCAAGAAATCAATTATTTCCCTTTCCTAATCAACAATCTTGATTTAGAATGTATTAGGGTTGCCGAATGTCTTTGTTTGCTCTGATATAATCATCAATCTTTAAAAAATCAGTAGATGTTTGCATAAGTGGATTTTGGAGGGTAAACAAATAGATTTCTTTCTTTGAGGAATGTGCAGAATTCATTGCAGGTGTAGTGATGATGCTATATGGATTTCACTTGTTCTTCAATGTGTAATTTTTGTAAATATAGTTCTCTTAGTATATTTGCTTGCAAGATTATGCAGTGTTTGCATATTATATTAGAGGTACTTCATAATCAAGCCATTCTTAGTTTTCAATGTATTTTGCAGGAAGCATTATATTTAATAGTAGACATATGCTCATCAAACTTAATGTCTCAAAAAACACAAAATGTGAGCAACCACTATATCTACTTGAGGCCCAAGAATGCATTGTAGAACTGTAGATTTGATGCCCTCTCAGCAGACAATATGATCTAGAAAACCTGGAACAGAAAGATTATTCTGGGGCTAAAAGTGTTTAATAGTTGTATTGATTCCTTGGCAGACCCTGGTCTAGATCAGAAGACATACATAGAGGGACTATGTTCTTTCGAGAGTCACATTATGAAAAAAAGGTATGTTGTCTCTGTAACTTCGATATCACATCAGGTGGTTCTAGGACAAATACCCCCTGGGCAATCGCCCCCCGGAAAATTACCCCAACCCCCAGAAATTACCCACCGAAACATTATCCGAGGACAATTTCCCCCGTGGACAAATATGCACCCCCCCCCCAAAAAAAAAATCTGCTTTTATTAAAACCAACTTTTTATCAGGCTGGATCTTCCCTTTTAATGAACAGGGGTGGGGGGGTAATTGTCCTAGGGCCTGGTTGTCCTTGGTTGTCCTGGGGGCGGGGGGTGGGGTTATTTTCCCGGAGGTAAGGTTCCTCGGGGGTAATTGTCCTGGGGGGGGGGGGTAATATTTATTTAAGTAGTCTTGGGGACAGTGCCCTTTGTTCATTCGATAGGGCCTTTTTTTAGATTCAATAGTTACTATTCAGCCTTTGTATTTAGATGAATTATATAACCATTAATTTGTTCAACTATCATCAAATAACATAATCATCAAATCCAGACTCTGAATTCACATTAGTTCATGATTTCTGGGTATTATTGAAAATGGAAGAACAAGGCCCGTACCTTATAAAAGGTTGCTTACATCCTATTTCAAAAGTGTTATATTCAAGCGTCATACGTTCACACTCACTGTCAAAGAGAATGTACTGTGCAAACTTGTGAAACAGATCATACCCTCGTTTTTGGTATAAAATTATTATACAACATCTCAGGATTCTTTTGTTTGTTTTTTTAATTTAAAAAAAAAAAATCTTTCATTTATTTGTTATGATAGTTCATGCTCCTCCATGATGCCTCATTCAAGTACTACATGCTGTGTGTCTTCATCGTTTTTGCCTGTCTTGTCATCTCACAACTACTTACACAGCCAAAGCGCCCTCTAATGTTCGCCGTATTCAGTACAACCTGTCTAATACTCCTCTTTCTTATACTCATTGCGATGGCACAGTATATGAAGGTAAGGTCTTTGGGCATTATTATGGTTTTATATCAAGGGTTCATTTTGTGTGATTAAAGCAAAGTGGATTTAACTTGCAAAACTATGAAAATATATTTTCCTGAAAGTGTTACAGTAAATAATTTGTATTGTTCAGAACAGCAAACGCTTTGGAAGTAAAGTTCTTTGATGTTTCTGTGCCGTTATCGCTGCACCTAATGTACATGGTTAGTACTCTAACACAAATCTTTTCAATAGTTTAACACAAGAGGCTCTTTTTAAAATTTTATTCTAGTGATTGAATTAAAGGAAAGGAAAGAAGGGGATGCTAATGTGAAGATGAATTTCACCTCTATTCACAATTTATTTATAATTGCATATTTATTTTTAAAGACTTTTTTTGTGATATATTGCATTCGTTTGTATCTAGTGTTGAATGGTAGCATATAGATGTAAATCATGAGAGAGAGAGAGAGAGAGAGAGAGAGAGAGAGAGAGAGAGAGAGAGAAAATTTCTATTCCTCAAGCGTTAATGTAATTTTCAATGCATGCCCACTCTTTTATGAACCATTTCTGATTCCTGATTGAATTATAAAAGGAAAATCAAATTTCAGTTGTATCTCATACATTAATTTCAAATATCCAAAGCATCAATCTTGCCTGCCCAAATGGAATGGAGTCTTTCACTGTACATGTCATCAAGCGGCAAGATTATTGTCAAATACAAATTGTAACATCTGTTATTATTCATCGTTATGATTGCTCTTTAAATCCTCATTAAACCACTCTTCTGTCTGTTCCTATATAAAATTGAATCAAGAGATGTCAGACCAAACAGAGCAAGGATATAAAAAGCAAAGCAGGGTTATTATTTCTTGAGGCAGTTTAAGCCATGTTTGAAAAAAGAATTGAAGGCAATGTGGTGATAAAAATGCAATATATGATAGTCTTACCAAAGAGATATCCTCCTTGGTCTTACCAGTAAGTTTTCATACGGCAGTAGAGTTCATACATGAGGTATTGTATAGGGCATAATATCCCGACAATGATGATGATGATGATGGTGATGATGATGATGATGATGATGATGATGATGATGGTGGTGGTGGTGGTGGTGGTGGTGGTGGTGGTGGTGGTGGTGGTGGTGGTGGTGATGATGATGATGATGATGATGATGATGATGATGATGATGATGATGATGATGATGATGATGATGATGATGATGATGATGATGATGATGATGATGATGATGATGATGTGGTGGTGATGATAAAGATGATGATGATGATGATGATGATGATGATGATGATGATGATGATGATGATGATGATGGTGATGGTGGTGGTGATGATGATGATGATGATGATGATGGGGTGGTGGTGATGATAATGATAATGATGATGGTGATGATGATGATGATGATGATGACAAGAACAGCAACAAAAACAAAAATACAAAATAAGAATGATATCACCCAGGTTTGTCTCATTAGTATTCATACTCTACTCCCTGAGGAGATCAGGGCTACATCAGACAGTATTGATTGCTTTTGCAGCCTACATATCTATGTATGATAAATGATAATACTTTACCAATAATTTCTTGGATTGCTTTCACAGCATCTATCTGGGTCTTTGTAAGACGACTTGATAATTGGATACATTATTTGATCTCTTCTCTTACAGTGTCACGCTAAGCTTTCTATGATGTGGCTGGAGAGACTGGTTCAAGCCAGATGGTGGCTTCGGAGGTTGATGGCTGGTATTGCCATGGTAACGCTCCTCCTCATCTCTGTCATCAACTTGGTATGCATCCCGAGTCAAGTCCCTCTTTGCTCCCACGATACTGATACACGTAGTTCACTGATATCACTTTGATGCTAAAAATGATCTTGAAATGTTATAATGGGTTCTCTTTCATAGGAAGTAGTTTAAAGGTCATCTTGAGTACTGGTCATGGATTTGAATTTGAAAGAGACTGGCTTGAGGTATTTATGAATTGTTTGTCCAGCGTTATAGCTAGTTTGTTAAGACCAACAAATTTAAGCAAATTAACAAATATGTGATGGAAGTCACATACACTGTCAGATAACAATTCATAGTTGCATATAAGAGATCACATGTTATGCAGTTATTCAAAATGAAAAGCTCAGTCATATCTTTCTTTGTTTATTACGCGGCTGATATGCATTTTCTTTCCAGATGGTTTTGGAGGTATTAATAATTTATAATTGAACATTTAGTATAAGTTTTGTTCCAATCTAAGAATTAATTTCTATCATTACCAGAACTCAAGAATTCTTTCCAAAAAACGTCTTCCTGTCATGAAGGGAATCTGGTAGGATGGCCATTAAATCTTTCACTTGAAGTCAATGGTCTCTTAGCCTTATCTTGGGAATCAAATATCTTCCTTGAACCACTTTTGATTTCTATTATATGGAGAAGATAGTCATTGACAAGATAGGTCAGTGATGAATTGTCTGTCATTGAAATAGTTCTTGGATATCATGTTTCACTCTGTCCTTATAAGAGTGCTGGGGGTGTTTCACAAAGCTTGTCATCTGTGACAAATGACAGGTTTTGTTATAAGCTACTGAAATCCTTGCTTCTGATTGGTTATCAGCAGATTTGTCACTGATTTCTGTCATCTGGCTTTGAAAAAAGGCTTTGTGAAACGCCCTCCTGGCTTGGAAGGTCACTGGTTCATCTCTCTCATGTAAGCTAACGCCCTTTGACTCTTAGCAGATGATATCGTGTTTCACTCTATTTGGAGTGCTAGCTCTTGATAGACTGGTTTCTGATAGTTTCTTCATCTTCAACACGTTTCATCATCTGCTGAATGGCACAGAAAAGGGTTCGACTTTTATCATTTAACAAAGAGATACCCCTGCCTCAATCACAAAAGACAATATCTTGTTTCACTCTATCATATAAAGAGTGCTGACTTTTAACAGACTGGTTTCTGATAGGTTCTTCATCTTCAACAAGCATCTTCTGAAAAGCAGGAAGGCATTAATTTACATACTGACGTATGCAGAGTTGAACCCTTCTGGCTCCAAGCATATGTAACTGTAGTGGAAATGTCCATCAGGGTTAAAAACAGGTAGCTTATTTCAATCAAGATGTTATATATAGACTTTTGCATGAAAGAGAGAGAGAGGGTTGACTCTAATTTTTTTCTGAGAGAAATATCCCTCTCTGCCATTATTTCAAGAAATATTGAATGACAGTAGTAAGTATATGTGTACGATATTTTTTGCACCTAACCAGTCAAATATTTGATAAGACGTGAACTTAAATAATTGAATATACAAAATATAAAATATATGAATATACATGAAAAGTCAAACCTGTCTATTAAGGTCATCCAAGAAAAAAGAAAAATGGCCGCCCTAGGCAGGTGGCCATTCTAGCCAGGTTCTATATAGCATTATTTTGTCCTAGAGGGAGACAATGAAGGTGACCATTATAGACAGCTTTTTTGTGGCTTCAGATAAGGTTTGGATTTTTAAATCCCTAATTTTATTGCTAGAATTTCATGACATTGTTTTGACTAATATGTGAAAGTGATTTGCAGTAACCTACTCCTGTAACCTAGCTGTTCCTTGGTTTCTTTCAGGTAGAGTGTAAGACTGTCCGAGAGTGTTCAGCCAATCAGACGGGGTCTTACAAACCTCATACTGTCTACCAGACGATGACGTCGACGACAAACCTTGTAAACCTATCGTCGTCACCACCTGGCAATAGTTCAAGTATAGGTTCAGATGATAAACCTATATGCAGTTTACCTGCGGTAGGTTTCAAACTATAAAAATGCGCTCATGAGCTTACTTTTATTATCCAATTATTATACTTTATTTTGCTCCTATAGTGGAAAACTACATGACATACTCATTTATTATTCTGTATTCATTGTATGTATGCCTATATACACTTAAAATAATTAAGAATGTCTTACATTTGCATTATTGAGAAAGTTCAATTTTTTTTTTGTCATATGAAATGGAAACATTGAATATAAAAACTACAAGCAAAATATTTGAAACCACCATACAAAGAACTTTTCTGAATTATTTGACTTGTTGCAAATGTAAACAAAAGTTGCAAATAACCTTTTCATATTTGAAAATTCCACACGTAACATTTGATTATGTGACAATTAAATGACGTACATATATGCTCCTACAATGATTTCTCGGCGATTGAGTGGAATTATTAAAAAATTTGCTTTCAATCCAAGCCCTAACCTGATGTCTTTGGCAAAATATTTTGGCGAAATGTCTGATAACCTTGGTGTTCTATTCTTTTTTCCAGATATACCCCTTGTGTAGCATGCTAGCACTGCAGACCTGTTTACTGTTCCTTCAAGTCGGTGTTAGTGTTAAAGCCTTTATCATGATACTGGGTCTGGTGGCAAACGCAATAGTCTTACACTACACTCATCGTTCCGTGTTTGACTGTGCTGATATGGATTTGTTGTATAGAGAAGAGTAAGCACTCTAGTGTTAATTTGTTGGAACACTTATTGTTCTTTAGCGTTAACTCTCGCCCATCATTCTGTGTTTTGACTGTGCTGAGGTGGAATTATTCTACTGAAAAGGTTTTCCCTCTGGTGTTCAGTGTATGTTAGCACACCAAATATTCTCAGATGCTTAATTCTCACCAATCATTCTGTGTTTTGACTGAGCTGAAATAGATGTGGGGGTAGAATTAGGAAATTAAACAAATCATTCTGTGCTTGGATTGGCAGAATGGATTTATAGGGCTCTTAAAGAGAGTAGTGAGCACGGTACTAGAATACCCAAATATTATCCTTTCTATATTCCTCAAGATTTTACTCTGTCAAAAGCCTTGAGTACTATTTTTAGTAAGGCCTATAAGAGATAGTTGTCACTGTTAAGAATAATGCTATGTAATGAATACACATATAGTCTTGTCTTAATATATGAATTTCCTTTCTTTTGTTTGATGTCCAGGTTTCATCATTATATACCAACAAGGATTTTAATGACGGTCCAGCTAGTCCTACTGGTTGTCATGCTGGTACTCATTGATAGAAGAGTAAGTTTCATTTTTGTCCAGTTTTCAAAAAAACTTCAGCGTATAGTTGTGGTCTTCTTTTCCTTACAGTCCATTAAGGTTTTAAAAGAAGAATGAGGGAGAAACAAAAACAATTTAATATTTGAAGATACAGGTACAGTAATTTCCTTGACTTTTCAAAGGATCAAATTCTTTCTCTTGTATTCCCTTATAATATCCATAGAAAAAGTTTTCTTCTATATAGATGCATGCATATAGGATACATATGCTTTAATTTTGTCAATATATAAGCAGACATTCTTATTATGATTTGGAGATTAAAATTTTACCAGATTTTCATACTACAACATTTTTAACCAAGAGAGGATTTCATGATATTTTAGTAACATTAATTTCACATGAGAATACTTCCAAGTTGTCTAGAGAGTAGTGGTAAGAAATATGACGTACTGTTTAGAGTCATAACTAAGTTTTACTAAGAGAAGATCAATTTTATGCTTCCCCTCCCCTTTCGACCATACCTGTGTACAGATAGAGTACACAGCTCGTCTAGGCTTCCTGTGGCAGATGAAGTATCGGGTCGAGAGGGAGGAAGTAGAAACGATGGAATCTCTCAATAAGGTCCTATTAGAGAACATGTTACCCAGTCATGTGGCACAGCACTTTGTCAAGCAGAGAATGAAGAGTGATGTGAGTATATTCATTGATTATACCAACTCCAGGGGGGGGGGGTGGTGTTTCACAAAACTTGTCATCAGTGACAAATGACAGGCTTTGTTATAAGCTACTGAAATCCTTGCTTCTGATTGGTTATCAGCAGATTTGTCACTGATTTTTGTCATTTGTCATTGAAAAAAGGCTTTGTGAAACGGGTCCTTGATTGTTTCATGTAAGAAGTTCATCTCCTTCAAAGGCTAGGGTTGATGATGAATCTATGCCCAGGGCTCCTTTGCAGCATGGTGCCTCTCTAACCAAATGCAAGTTTTCTTTTGATGAAGAACATTTATTGATAGCTCCCGAATGAAATGACCTGTTACTAAAACTGAATTGGTCTGATATGTATATTTATTTGAAGCAGGAAAATCCAAACGATTGATTTGACCTGTGCTCTGCAAGGGAGGTTTTCTTTGAGATAGATTTGCAGTACCAAAATGTGTTTATTCAAAGTAGAGGATACAAATATATGTAGATACCTATAACATGCTTTCAGATATCATTGCCGTTCCCTCATAGCCTCCAAAAACAAGCTAAGCCCAATCATTTGACTCTGCATGGCTGTGTTACTGAATCATTTCATCCACCATTTGCCTTCCATCTAACTCAGTACCTAGGTGACCCTACACAAGATTTGTCACTTTGGCAGACAGGTTTACTTGGCAGCAGTGGTGATGTGAGTCCCTCAACTATACATATTCTCCAGTCTCACCTAGCAACTACATATATATATATATATATATATATATATATATATCATATTATATACTTCAGTCTTATTTGTCAAATATATGTCTATTGCACTCTTTGTTTTCTTTGTATATTGTCTTTTGCCTGTTAAGCTTCATATCAGTTTTATGGATCTTATCGTCAGTTTGGTGTATTAATGTTTTGATCACAAGCATTTGATTTGAATATGTGTAACTTTGACTGTAATCATGCATTTTTGTAATTATGTAGATATTATAAATTGATTATTTTTGTTCATTTTGTATGATTTTATATTTTTCCTTCCTATCTCTTCTAAATAGCCTTCATATGGGATCTATATATTTCTCAATCTCCACCCCCTTAATTAATTCTGTTTACGTGGAGAGATTGAAAGATGTGTGCTAGTCTGTATCAGCATGGATGTATTTCTCTCCTTTTTTCTTTATGTTGGTGTGCCTACATGTGTGAAAGAAACATGGATATTGTTTGCTATATTTATCGTTTTGTTTTTGTGTTCGTACACATGCATACTTTTCAGCTTGAGAATATGAGTGGCAGCGACAACTATACTTTAGATGTCCCTGTGCTTTCACTGTTCAGATGAATTTACTGTTCTTTTAATTTGACTCGTTTTATTTTGTCATAGTAATTTATTATTGTTTGTTTGTTGTTGTTGTTTGTTTCAGCATTGATCACTGTTACTGCTATAGACTTCTTCATTTTACTTGTTCCCTTTAGAAATGTCAGTTGTTTCTGGTTGTTGATCCCAGTATGGCATGTATTTGAAGAGAAATGATAACATGATGATCTAAACCTGTATCTATAAGAATCTGATACCTGCTATCGAAGACCACTGTAAGCTCATTGATGAATATCCAGGCTTGATTATGTATGATCTCCTGTATGCTCAAATTTGAAATCAGTTTGCAAAAAATAAAACTGTTTTGCCGTATTTCTTTAATTTGCTCATTAAGTTGCTCCATCATTTGCTTCATCTTTTGCTTCATCATTTGTGTCATCACTCACATGCACATATATTATATAAAGTTACACCCCATTATAAAAGTTACAAATAGTATGAATTGTTAACCAAAATAATAAACTCTGTAGAAAATGGACTAAACTCTACAGCCATTTAAAAATAAGTTATTGTGAAAAAATACCATATAGAAACAGATGGTAGCAGTTGGATTATCAAATGTTTATATGGGGTTGAAAAAAATATTGGTGGCAGCAATGGGATTATAAAAATCATAAACTGGTGGCTGGAATGGGAATATAAAGTTAGAAACCGGTGTCACCAGTGAAATTGTAAAGATCATATGCTGGTTGCAGCAGTGGCATTATGATATCATATACCGGTACTGATGGCGTGGTGGGATTTAAACACAAGTTATAATTATAAGAGTAGACAGCTGTCCATCTGATAAATTATTCATAGGGTAAAAGACAAATAAGAATGAAATTAACATCTTACACAAATGAAAATGAAATACTTCCAGGAAACCTATAAATTTCGAATATTTTATTCTTTATTTTGTTTACATTTCTCTTTTGATAGGAGCTCTACCACCAGTCATATAACCTGATAGCAGTGATGTTTGCCTCTATTCCAAACTTCAAGGAGTTTTACACTGAGACAGACGTTAACAACGAGGGCCTAGAGTGTCTAAGACTACTCAACGAGATAATCGCAGACTTCGATGAGGTGTGTATTGGTACTTAAGTTGCATACTTTAACAAGTCTCTGCAAGGCTTTTTAAACAATTGTTGTTAAGTTTCTACAGTGTATTGTCAGATATAATTCATGAAACATGAGGATATCGGGTTGGATTTCAGTTGCTCTTGTATTGTTTCTTGTGATTAATTTTTTTAAATCTGATTATTGTAGGCTCTGTCCAGTTCTCAAATGAGTGAATACTTCAAAGTATTCAATACCGGTACTGTAATTTATATAGTTTTGTGCTCATATAAGTAAATTGTAATTCTCCCTTTTTTACCTCACTTCTGTAGAGTAATGCTATGTTGAGTGACAAAAAATGTTCATTCTCTAAAGTATAATCCTAGAATACATTTCATGATATTTATTTTCTAATTACATTTCAGCTTCTGTCCAAGCCAAAGTACAGCTGCGTAGAGAAGATCAAGACCATTGGTAGTACATACATGTCTGCAGCTGGCCTGAAGCAACCAGAGTCAGGAGTCAGTACCAAGCAGTCTCTCTACTATGTAGGCGTCCTTACTGAGTTTGCTATGGCTCTACAGGATAAACTGGAGCAGTTGAACAAACAGGCATTCAATGACTTCAAGCTCAGGATAGGTAAGGATTAATTGAGAAGTATGGATGATGATGCCTTTGAATGATGATAAAGAGAACTTAAGTTATTGTGTTCTTTTGGGATGAAGGATATTTTCCAAGTATCCATGTATCTATAATCTTCATGTTCTGGAAATAGTATATACATGCATATATTTAATATTGGATCATTCAAATCCCAGTGATACAAATATTGTAAAAGTCGTTGAAAGAGACATATTTATTTTATGATGAAATCAATCCATTTTAGATGATTTCTGTCAAATTTCTGTCATTTTGAAGTTGCTAAAGACTTACGAATACACATTTTGTATTTCTGATACAAATTGTACTTAAAGTGTATTTTTACATTTTTTAGAATATGATGTCAAGACAACTGTAGAGAAAAAAGATATAAAAGCAACAACTTATGATTCCGATCTGTGATATATTTACAGGTATCAACCATGGCCCTGTTGTAGCAGGAGTGATTGGAGCTAGGAAACCACAGTATGATATCTGGGGAAACACTGTCAATGTAGCCAGTAGAATGGATACTACAGGAATGATTGGTGAAATACAGGTAAAATGTCAACTTAAATTTTTTTATTACAGAACATATTAAGAGTATATTTGATTCCTTGTTTATTACATTATTGAGGAGTGACTATGCATGTAAACTTTCTTATTTCTAGTATTCTATGCTTTTTTTAGTAATATGATTGAGTGTAGGTCTTCAACCTCTTCAATTTATAGCTTGAAAAGAATTTGTATATATATATATATATATATATATATATATATATATATATATATATATATATATATATATATATATACTTACCATTCATAATGAAAAATGTTGAAATATCTTGTTAATTATTAGTTTATCTTGTAAGAAACATCGCTATCAGAATAAAAAAGATTAAATCAGTGTAAGATATTCCACTTTTCTGGATGTATGATACAAGTACATGTATCATACATTTTTAATGTACTTACTTTCTTTCATTCATATGGTATAATTATATTTTATTTTCATCAGGTTACTGAAGAGACAGCCAATGTACTGATGGAGCTTGGTTTTACCTGTGAGACTCGAGGCATCATCTCAGTCAAAGGCAAGGGCAAACTGAAGACGTATATAGTACGAAGGATGAGTCGCTCCATCTCACAATCAACCAATCTCAGTTCCGCTCTCTCATGATGATGGGTCCTGTTGCTTAGCAACAGTATCTCTATGCTTTGATCATGCGACAAGTTATAATACCACATTTATATAGATAGTGAAACAATGTTCTTTGGTTGGAGGACTCTTGATGGTTGCCTAGCAACAGCATCTTCTTCGTGATGAACAATGTGATGCTAGCATACATGTGTAGTTTGAGTATGCATACATTAATCTTCAAACAAAGATCTCTTAGCAAAACTCACATGACCATCTCTCTTTGGATATGTGCTAGCTTGTCTTTACAATTGTTTTCAGGGCAGAATTTGTTTTAATACAGTTATTTACTTGCATTCATAAGAGAAAGCTTTGCTTCTCGATATGGATCGAGTTGTTTAGTATATACTTAGGACATCCTATTAATGCTTGCCAGTTGCAATGAATTAGGTACTTCTCTGAACAGGAAGCCAGATAAAGATGGTGATAATATTCCATCAAATATTGTTAACTGATGTTTGATTTTTAGTTTTAATGTAAAATCTTTGTTGCATTGAGAACAGATTAAAGATCACTATCTTTATACACTGTATGATCATACTTTATGTCTTTCATTGTGTTCGGTTAAAAAATAATCTTGACGTTAATAAAAATTAAATGAAACACTGAGAGAAAATAAAAAGATATAATTCTGAATCAGTAGCCATGTCCTAAGTCCTCACATTTTGTTGTTGTTGTCGTTAGGAACAAACTTTAAAATGAACAGCACATCTGTGTATAGTCCCAGCAACATCCTCATTAGAAATTTGTTTGAAACATTTTAAGGCTGTATTTGAATGTCTTTCTTTCAGTTGGGATGTTTTGGAATGCCGGGAGAAAATTAGGTTCAAGTATTTGGCTGTATTATGAGAGATAAGCTGTACTTAATCTTCCTTTATTTCTTCCTTTCTATTTCTGACCTTAAATTTGTAATCACATCCAATGGCAAGATATATGATACACTTGGAAGTTTTTAAATATAATGTGATTTTTGCGTAAAAATGTGATTTTCTTAGGACCATCAACAGACTATGAGGGTGGTATTCTTGAAAGCGGACTAACTTTAGTCCATGGTTTAATCCACTGACTAAGTATGATATGCCAAGTGTCCATATGAATATGTTTTTGAATAATTTGATATATCCCTAAATTACCATAATAACATAATTATATCATAGTCATATTGTTGTTTATACAACACCTACGCAGATCCTTGTCATTTGATTGGAGGATTGTTGGTCACATGATATTCAAAAGATGTTCTATTGCACGGGCGTGCATTTTCGGTCATATTTGCTGTGCATTTTTGGTTATATGCAGACTGCGTACCTCTCTGTCGTGCGCGTATCCCTGCGTGTATCTGACGCAAAGGCAGTCTGAATGTAATCAAGAAGGCTTGACTCCAACTTTAATTTATCTTAAATATAAGGAGTAAAGCATAATTTGTTGATTAACATTCTATTAGATCTTCTTCGATGTTGTATAAAACAAATAATGAACGTTTTTCATTCGTTCAATAGTGCGAATATTTTCGTGAGTTGAAAAATTAAAGGTAATTCTATTCAACTCGGCTGACGCCTCGTTGAATAAAATGTTAATCTTTCAACTCATGAAAATATTTGCACCATTCATTATCTGTATATTATTAATTATGTTATTACATTTTAGTGACAGATTAAATCATTCAAAAACATATTCATATGGACACTAGGCATTCCATATTTAGTCAGTGAAATAAACCATGGACTAAAGTTAGTCCGCTTTCGGGAATACCACCCTAAGATTACTTTCTGCAGTAAGACTCTCCTAATAGGTCCTTCCGATCTATCCTCAATGGCAAATAGATAATGCTTCTGAGTGACAATGAAAGTAATCTGTCAGTAAAAATAATATTTGAGAGTTTCAGACAAATGTGGAATATTTTACTCTTTATGAAACGTCTGTTAATAAGTATAAAGATATCAATATTAAAGCAGTCAATATCCCTTTTATATGCCGAATTCAAACAAAAATCTACCAAGAATTCTGAACTTATCCTTTTCTCAAGTAAAGATTGGTTAAAACATCACAGAAAATCTGATAAACTGTCTGTTTATCACCACCCGAAAAATGACTGAAATATTCAATCAGTTGGGAATCGCAGACAAAAAGCACTGTATGATGTCCGCGCTCACTCAAAGAACATTTTAACACGTAAACCAATGGGTATCGCAGCAAGATTTTATTATTTTCCCGGTAACTGGAATTTTGCCGGGATTTTACTCTTGGACTATTAAATGGTTTTGGCATTTTTTGTTCCTTTACGGGAATAAAATCAGGACTGCAATATCGACCAATCAGATGGCTGTATTTCTTAAGTGAGGTATATAATTATTTCTATTACACTCAGTTTACTTTTAGAAATCTCTCTGCTTAACAATAGTTCATCCATGATCTTCTAGCCAAGAAAATGTTAAACATTACCCTTCTTTACTCATAAATGTATTGTTGCAAGAATATTTCCCTGGTGTTTTGTATTCTTTATAGCCTCAATAAACATGTAAGCGCTCTTTTTTGAAGGGTGTGATTCAAATAGAATCATGTTGATATGAACTGTGATATTTGAAAAACTTATCTTCAAATATATGTAAACATCATGCTTGCCTTAGAGTGTATTAATTTTCTTTAAATTCTGCAATTTTTCTCTCCTACATTACACTATCTATGTCAATCATAATCCCTGATGAGAACAGTTTTGTTGAAAGATAGCTTTGGATGTTTGATGATTTGTTATGAATCTTCATTTTATGAATATATTTTTTCAGCAAATGGATTTTGAATATATTTCTAGACCAGCTTGTATTTCAAATTTTTATTTTCACATGTCCGTACAAAGCCTTTCACTAAGAAAGACACTGATAATGTTTATTCTGTCAACCTTCAGAGGATCAACTTCTTAGAATCTGTTTCTATATGAAGGTATATGATCTAGATGATGCATATTCACTATATTGATAATCAAAGTTGGATAATCGATTGCCTGGATATGTTCACTTCTCAAAGAGAAAATTAAGAAAAGAAATATGAGAAAAATATAGTCAGTAGGAGTTGGGATTAATTTTATCACATTTTCTCTCATGATCTATTCTGGAGAAATTGTTTTTATGTACATTTGTAATTTGTATATACATTGATTTTCATTATGATCAAATACAAATACATGTTTTCTATGCAAATAAAGCAATAAACAAAATTCATGGTTATTCTTGTGTTTTTATTTTTTTGCTGCAATTTTATAATGTATTGTCATATAGTTTGAAATCCACACTAATCTACTTCAAGACAGGAATTCAATACTGCAATAAAGAGATCCAAAACCCAAATAAAAATTACAATTTTTTAAAGACAAATTGCAGCAATTTTTTCCATTTTCTGATATAATGTAAACTTACCTAGTTACTTATCAAGAGCCTACTAAGCTTTCAACAAATTTTTTCATTCACATCAATATTTTAACAATATTACAATTATTGCATTACAAAATAAATCCGTTATAAGTTTTACTTTATGCACAATCATATAGGCTTCTTGATAATGAAAGCATATTAAGGATAACATATTAATCTCTTATTATAATTGACAGAGAGAGAGGGAGAGAGAGACCGATAGAGAGAGAGAGAGAGAGAGAGAGAGAGAGAGAGAGAAGATGATAGTTTGGGTCAGCTGAATTTGATCTAAATACAGTACAGTACTGTAGTACACTCAAAACATTTCCTAAATTATCCGCTTAGTGGCAAAAGGTTATGCAAGAGCTTACATATTTAGTTTATTAAAAGAAATACCAGACTGCATTATTTGTAGTGAATATAAGCACACAAATATAAATTAAAACTAGTGAAAAGACAAATAAAATGTAGCTTTTGTACTTTGTATTTACATCAATTAAACCTAAAAAGGAGAAGGGTATATAGGCCTCTATAAGGAGGGGACAGAGAGACGGAGAGAGAGAAAGAAAGATGAGGGTGGAAATGATAATAAGGTCAGCTGATCTAGACTTCAAGTGAATTTTGATCACCATATTGTAAAGTACAGTACAGAATCTCATTGTTAGGTGCTTTCTTTCTTTGATAATAGAGATATGCCCGAGAAAATTAGTATTATGGAAACTGAAAATAGAAAACTATCAAGCTTAAAGAAGAACAAATGTAAATCAATTACTTTCTGATCATGATTATTCATTCAGAATAGAAAACAAGGTAACGGATACGGAGTCCGTACCTTCCCCCTCATCCGTCCCTCTCCTCATCAGCTCCTCCCCCTCACCGCTTGCCCCTCCTTCATGCGCCGCTTCCTCCTCCTCCTCAACAAACTGAAACAAAGCGCACCTTTAGACTGACCAATTACACTCCCGAACGGGGCACCGCCCACTTTCACGAGGTCCTGTGTAAACAGACCTCGATCAAGGGCAGTAACTTTGTTCGCGACTTGCAAACGCAAGTGCAATATACACAGGATCAGGATACGGAGCCAGCGCCAGGACCACACGCGTACATCATCAGGTTGTCTCTTGTTTTAGTACAATTAAAGCACATCTGTTCTCCATATTCCTCGGACTTCTAAGTGTTTAGGTAAGTCAATTTTGGTAAAATACAGGATAAGTAACTGTGTATAACTATCTGTAACTATCTGTGTACATCACTACATGGTGTAGAGTAGACTGAAAATCCCAAAGTCAATGTGATGCATATTTTTTGGCACATGAATTATGCACAACCTCATATGATGAGGCTTGTCCACTTGTCAATTGTTCTTTTGCACAATAATATCCCATGCCAGACGTTACATCTGTCTTGGCTAATCATGATTGGAGAGTTCATAGTACAAAGTATGACATATGAAGCTGTGAAGTGAATAAGGAGAGGGTCTAGCTTTTAGTTTTATAATTATCGGTGCACCATATATCTCTTGACCGAGTGGGATTTTTGTAGAAGATACTGAAAAATTGCACTCTGGACTCCTGATTCCATTGTGTAATGTTTATTGAAGTGACACTTATATTTAATTAAGTAAACAAATTCTGAAATAAATGGTGCTAAATTACTTATGTGATTTACTGAAGTATTTTATTATTTTTAAGCGATGCTTGCTATCGTTGTGGATCAAAAGTCAAAATCAGAATATACATATCCTTTATTAAATTTTGTAAATTAATCAATTAATTTAAGTTGAGGCAGGTGATTTTCAAAGTTCATCCAAGCGCAACTTGTCTTAACTTAAGTTATGATTGCAGTAAGTACACCGATAAGTCGATTTGTGTTACATCTGTAAAAATCAAAAGATATTTATATAAGATTGGATGGCTTTGAGTGTGATACAAGAATATATTACATTAGCTATGACAATATTGGACGAGTCAAAGACGAGTCTAATATTTTCTGAGCGAGAGCAATATATTTTTGTTTCACACAAAAACAAAGCCATAAATTATTATTATTATCTATATTAGTCTGACTAGCAAAATAACAAAATTTGACTCACCTTGGTAAATATGGCTACCAGTACTATGTTTTTGTGTGATATCGATAGTTGAATTTAAGTTCCCGGAAGACTGAGCAATACAAAAATAATATTGGTCAGTCATCCGGATACTGCGCTAAAGATATTGAATACATGCACTGATTTATTGTAGCACTTGGAAGCCTTATATATATCTAAGGCTTCCAAGTGCTATACAATAAATCAGTGTATTCAATATCGTTAGCACAGTACCCGGATGACTGACCAATATTTTGTTTGTATTGTTCAGTCATTCGGGAACTTCAACCATTGTTCACACACACAAAAAAGCCATATTTACCAAGGTAAGTCAAATTTTGTTATTTCGCTAGTCAGCCTGATAAAGATAATAATAATTATATTATATGGCTTTGTTTTTCGTGTGATACAAGAATATATATTGCTCTCGCTATGACAATATTGGACTTGTATAGCTTGAGCAATATATATCTTGTATCACACTCAAAGCCATTCAATATTAAATAAATATTAATTTCTTCGTAAGCCTATTCAACTAGTTAAGATAAGCAACTTTAATAGCAAGTAATTATGATTTAATTTACTGCAAAGCTTTTTGTAGAATAACATTTACTTCATTTCAATTATTATTCAAAGAAACTTATTTGTAAGTTTCAGACAAATGTATGTTTAGTATCAAGGCTCAAATTAATTTTTTGTCCACGGGGGCTCTTCCAAAAAAAAAAGAGCCCCCGTGAGCTCTCTCACGGGGGCTCTTTTAGTACCGACGGGGGCTCTTTTTTTAATACAAATTTTCATTGAATTGGTACCCATGAAACTCCTAAATTCCTTGGTATTTTATCATTATCATTTATTTAAGTCGGCATTTTCCCTCTTAGAAATGTACTTGTTACATAGCTGTTATTGACTTTTATCTCCGTAATGACATTCTCTCCATTTCTTCCCGCTCTGCACATAATGTCCTCCTCATTATTTGGAGCAACCTTATTTACATTCTTTCTTTACTTTTGGTTTTTACCATATCCTTCCAAAACACAGGGGCAGATCTAGCTTTTTGCTAAGGATGGGGGGGGGGGGGTAACCCAGATACGATGTGGAGCATCGTCCACGAGCCGCGTAGCGGCGAGGCGATTTTTGTTGTTGCTATTTTGAACTCCCGTAATTGATATGTTCCTGGCATCTACTAACATGCGGAGCATCGTCGACGAGCCACAAAGCGGCGAGGCGATTTTTTGGCGCTATTTTGAACCCCCGTTAGTGATGTTTTCCTGGCATCTACTAACATGCGGAGCATCGTCGACGAGCCGCAAAGCGGCGAGGCGATTTTTTGGCGCTATTTTGAACCCCCGTTAGTGATGTTTTCCTGGCATCTACTGACATCTACTAATACTGTGTAGGTCTGGACACAATGACACATGATAGCATTTTTCTATGCACAACACATTTTCACTCGGCAGCCCAAGGGTGAGGGGGGGGGTGGTTAAACCCCTAAACCGCCTAAATCCGCCCCTGCAACATCTTTGGTGATCTTCTTCTCAATATTGATTTACTGGTCAAGTTACATTATTTGCTGATCTTTTAGAATAACCAGATTTCAGAGGATTCACACTTTTCACAACGAAAAATTTCTCCATGTTTCAGTCCTTGCGCGATCGTCTCCAGCTCCAGCATATATTGGGCGTCAGCGTGCACACCGGTACTACCGGCGCAGTATAGCCATTGCTGACGGCCGCACTACAGCTGCACTGCGAGCTCTGTTGTTTGTATCGGTAATACTCATAGAGATGGGAGAGAAAGCGCCATCTAATTAGTTTCATTTTATTGGTTTAAGGTTTGAAAATTGATACTCAATATTGTGTTAAAGTTATATCAGAAAAGATAATCTTTATTTTATAATTCCACGGGGGCGATTTTTAATTTTGCAATCGCCCTCGTGAACCATCTGACGGGGGCGATTGTGGGGCTCACGGGGGCGAATCGCCCACCGCCCCCGTGTATTTTGAGCGTTGTTTAGTATGTTAAATGAGAAATGTTGATTCTTTTGACATACTTTAATGAAGAAATGTGAATTTAGGGAATGAAATAAAAAATCAACATCTTTGTCTAACACATGACAATTTGTTAAGGTGAAATTATTACCCACAAATTCTAATATTTGCAGGAAATTCTTCACTCAGTCTTAGATTATCTTGCATATATTTAAAATCTTACCTTTTAAAAGCATCCTAGATATCCAAGATGGCCGACAAATCGACCACGCCTAAGCCCAGAGTGTCCACCACATTTTCTGTTGGTTTGGATGGGAAGCTAGACATGAGACGAAACTTTGAAGACACCCGGGATTACCCCGAGGGTGTGACTAAGGAGACCCTCGCTGTGACTGCTCAGACCCAGCTCAGAGGTACAGATACCAACAAACCCGTCGTACCGTCGATCAGTATCGCAACCACGTTTGAGGTCAAGGATCTGGATGATTACATGAAGTATATAAGGGTAGGTCTTACAGTGGCTGAAGTTTCATCAATTGATTAGTGGGGCCCTATACTGTAATGCTAGGTGTGAAAAGAGTTTTACTTTCAAATGAAAAAAAAAAATGGGTCTTTTATCTTGTTGCTTTGAATTTTGTCTATGAAAACAACCTTGGCAATGTTACTATTCATTTTTAAGATGATTTGTTTGTTTGTTGATGTCATATTCTTAGCAGAAGGGGTTGAATTTTCAAGAAGATAAATCCCTCCTTAGTTTTGGAATACATATTGTTTGTGTGGAGCTAGAAGGGCTTGAACTCTGTGTAAAATGATAGAGAGTTTGGTATGGGCATATTACTGGAGTGATTGTTCTTTAGACAGACAACCTGCACTTGCAGACTACTTAAGTAGCATTGATTTGACAGAAGCACTCTTGAAGCTACAACATATAATCAACACTTTTCTTGAAACCTTGTCCTGTAAAGTATTTTTTTGTGCATAATACAATCTTCTGTGGGCCAGAAAGATATAAGATACTTTTTAAATAGAGTAATAATGCTGTTTTTGCTCACAGCAGAAGACTTTGCAAATATTGTCTTAATTGGTATTTGCTAGATCTGCAGCAAGGCTGTGTAAAATAAATAGATTGGTTAAAAATTATTTCCTGTAATGATCACAGACATATCATATATGTTTCTAGAATAATAGTTTCCTTTTGTATTCCCTCTCCTTTAGGATGGCTATGTGTATGGTCGTTGTAATAATCATTCCTGTGATGTGGTCTCTCATGCAGTCAACAAGATAGAAGGGGGTGTTGGTGCCTGTGTGTATCCCAGTGGCATGTCGGCCATCAGCAACAATATCCTGGCGGTCGTCAAGACTGGTGACCATATTGTATGTAAAGCATAGTCGTACCTGGTACAGCAATACTTGTGTAGAAAGGATACAAATCTCAATGATGGACCTTGGAAATAGTCACGATCTTGTTATTATAACTACTTATTATTTTGCCCTTTTGTGGCCTAAAACTTTAGGTTTACAATTGCTTAATATTGCATATAGTGACATCTTTTATAAAAGTGATCACATGTATATACAAAGACCACCTGTCTTTAGATACCACATTTTTGTTTCCCTTTGAATTGTTTCTGATTTGACCTATACTTCAGAAGCCTGTACATAAATACCTCTTATTAAGCCCACCATTATTGTCTCTTGTAAGTGGTTTATATATATATATATATATATATATATATATATATATATATATATATATATAGGTTTGACTGCACATGTATACCGGTATTGATATTTGGATACATTTTGAGATAGATGTAAAATAGGCATGTTTAGAAATCAGTGTTACTGTGTTTCTCATGAACTGATAGATGTAGGAACTTTCCGCAGTCATCCTCATCATTTACCAGTCTGCGCTTCTATTCAAATTTTCTCTTAAATGTAAAATTGGCAAGTCACTAACTGGAAGGTATACCGGTACGTAAGAAGAACACTTCCTAATTTCCTATATGTTGCTCTTATTCTCACCGTACATTGGTCTTTGGTATTGATTTAGATTGCCCCTGACCCAGTTTATTCGGGAGTGTATGCCTTCCTGAAGCATGTCATTGGTAACTACGGAGTGGAAGTGACCTTTGTACCATCAGGAGACCTGGATGCCTACAGGAAAGCCATTAAGCCCAACACAAAGGTAGAAGCTAGACCTCTCTGGCTTTTAATTTTTATGTGTCAACTGGCCTGTCATGAACTTATTAAAGGTACTCGTGAACAAACATGTTAGATTATCATGCTTTTGGGAAAAACAGTGCATCTGTTTCAACATGTGAGGGGTTCTAGGACAATTACCCCCTTGACAATCACCCCCGGCCAATTACCAGAGGGACAATTACTCCCAAAGGACAACCCCCTACCCCCCCCCCCCCCCCCCGAGGACAATTACCACCTCAGACAATTACCCCCTTAGGACAACCACTCACCCAAGGACAATCCCCCCCTGAAAATTAACTCATTGGACAATCACCCCCCCCCCCCCCAAAAAAAAAAAAAAAAAAAAACACCTGCTTTTATTGAAACCATCTTATTATCAAAGTAGGGGGGGGGGAGAGAGTAATGTCTGTGGGGTAGTTTTATTGGGATGTAGTTTTCTGGGGGTGATTGTCCTGATACAATTGTCACCTTGCAGAAAATATATTACAGATATATCATGTTTGTGAAGGAGTATATGATATAGTGGAGTGAAGGGGTCAACTCAAGATCAGATCACTTTGAGAGACAGCTGAAAGCTAGAGCAGACGATAGGGTCACTAAACCTATCTTTATGCCAATCTCGATCGCTTGATTGATCGATTTACAAGTTTGCACATTTTACCACAGGTTTTCTATGGAGAAACACCAACCAACCCGGTCATGTCTTTGCTGGACCTGAAGGCCTTTGCTGACTTGGCTAAATCCGTACCTGGTGCCATCAGTATGTGTGATTCTACATTTGCCAGTCCTATCCTACAGGATACTCTGGGACTTGGCATAGATATCGTCTTCCAGAGCTGGTGAGCAATACGGCATAGGGGTAAACTATAATGTTTTTGTCTCTTTTTTTGGAAAAAAATGTAATGCAAGGATAGAGAAATAATAGACAGGAAAAATAGCAATAATAGTAAATTTCTTAATAATCTCCGTGTATAAGGCGCACCTGTGTATAAGGCGCACCCTTATTTTTTTTGGGGGGAAAAAAAAAAAAAAAAAAAAAAAAAAAAAAAAAAAAAAAAAAAAAAAAAAATCGTTTTTTGTTTTGTTGTTGTTTTGTTGCCGAAAACCCACGCGGGGAAGGACCTTCATTTTACATCGAGGTGCAGTTGAACTTGTCACAAATAATAGTAACAACAGTCTAAGGCTTCATGATACCAAGTATCCCACACCAGCCTCATCACATCACCTAGCAGAAGCACTGTGTTCTATGCCAAACATCAATAGTCATGCATGATATGAATAGCATCCTCTAAATTTCTGACAATGGAGTACCTAGGATAGAACCTTGTGGTACACCATTTGTTATAGAAAAAAAATTGAGGAATTATTATTATAAACTATACATGTTGAGATCTATTAGAAAGATTACTTTCAAACCAAGATGACAGACAAATTTGAGTGTTGTTGTAACTTCCTAGTGGTGAGTCAACACACTGATTACTGAGCTAGGAGACATTGCCAGGCATAGCGCCATAAATCGAAACTAAAAAAAACAAAAACAAAAAAAAACTTTTTTTCTGTACCTGTGTATAAGACGCACCCCCGACTTTCAATTTTTTTCGGTGGCAAAAAAGTGCGCCTTATACACGGAGATTTACGGTAAAGCATATTATATATCTGTTAACATCATTACGGGCTGTAGGAAAATGAAAAAGAAGTAAATACGAGTATGGAAAAAGAAAATAAGCTGAACTGTAATATTCTACATGGCATAGTCATATTCTACCTGTGTGTAGGATTCATTCACCTCTTATCAAAGAGATGCATTTTTAAAGATGTCTTGAACTTATCCATGATATCCGTATGTTTAATATCATCATTGTTTGCAGTTCATACAAGGTATGGATAGGTGGATTTGAGCTCCCTCTTTGGAAGTAAAATGTCATACAAGAAGTATGTGACCTCAACAATCTAAGGGGAGTGTTTCCTGCCACTGTTTTCTCTCACCATTATGATCTTTAGATAATATTCTTCCTTCAATAATGAAAAAATGTAAATTCTAGTGTAGATTTGTTACCATGACTTGAATGTCTCTTGAGAGACCAATGCCAGTAAATGGTGAGAAAAAACAGGAGCATGCATGAACGGCCTGCGTCCAACTTTAAGTCAATATTAGTCTTTGTGAAACACTCCACAGATATGCAAATAAAGTTGAAGTCCATGCAGTCTAATTACTCTGAAAAATATTAAGAGACAGAAATTTCAAGTAAAACTGGCTTGGTTTTTTAAATAAGGGGTAAAAGTATACAGATACTAGTCATTTGGATCGATCGAGGCTGGGCAGTGAATAAATAAAAAAGTAAACAGAAAAAAAAGGGGCAAAAAAATGCTATCATGCTATACGATGTTGGGGAAAACACCTTTTTGTCTACGTGTATCTGTATGGGGTTTTCCATTTAGGATCGAGCCAAAGATACTGATATGCCCTGGATATGAGTAATGTTGTATAGTGCTTTTCCATAATCGTCTTCACTTGTGCTTTCATTACTATGATATTAACCCCATACAGTACCCTTTGCCCTTTCTTTGTCGACTCAGTACCAAGTACATGGGAGGTCACAGTGATTTGATGGGAGGATCCATGTGTACTTCCGATCCAGATCTGTATTTCTATCTCAGTGAGCATCAGAAGCTTGTCGGCAATATCATGGTGAGCGTTGAATCATCTCATAAACAAAATAATGTTGGAGTTGAAAGGGAAAACTCACCTCTAAATAATTTGTATATTGTTAGAAGACTTAAAAATCATCCTCATAAAGAGGAACATTCAAACTGTTATGGATTAAAGAGCATACAAACAAAATTATTTCATGATCTACATTGAAGATATATTGTACAAGTGTACATACACGTACATGTGAATTGACCAGTCTAAATTGCAAATTTGCTCAAATCTTTAAACCTCTAAAAATTTCATGCTGGAGTCGAAAATGCATACCTTAATAAAAATAAATTGTATCCTATGGATGAAACTCATCATGTCTCTTTACAGAAATAATATTTCAAGCTCGTATTCAAATATACATGTAGTATACCATCATAGAACCATAAGCGTAAATAGCAAATAATTGTTTTGTTTGGGGGGGGGGGGGGAGGTGATTGCTGCAGTATGAACCACGGTTTGTCAAAAATGTATGGATTAATTGTCTTTGCTTGAACTATAACTTCTAAAAATTGCTATTTGCTTTTCTGGTGCGTACATTAAAAAAAAAAGGGTTCTTTCTTTTCAAGTACGGGTATTTATTCTAGCTGTTGAAATTGGTAAATTATACTTAAATTGATGCCCTCTGTTGTCCTATTTTTTAGTCTCCCCACACTGCTTCTCTCTTACTGAGAGGGATTCGTACTCTACCACTGAGGATGGAGAAACACAGCTCTAATGCTCTACGGGTCGCTCAGTATTTAGAAGCTCATCCAAAGGTAGGGATGACATACAGCAGAGTTTCAATTCAGGATCTCTGCTTGGTATATACCACCAACATTTTTTTCCTGCCACAATGTTCCATTTAAAATCGTATCATTTGTTTAGGATTCACATGGTGTGTTAGTGAACCTGTTGACTATATGATTTCTCTCATGATATACAGGAGCTATCCGGCTCCCATAGGCAGTTGGTAAAGCAGGGGGGTGTTTCATATAAGCTGTTCGTACTGTTCACGAACGACTTGTATATGAAAAGCCAAATGGGATGCTCAATCTTTATTAACTACATCAACTAAAGTTGAACTGCGCAGATGTAGATTGACATTCTTATTATAACAAACATTTTTAATGCAAAGTATGTTTTTTTGCCATAATTTAATTGAGGTTATTGGAAATATCAGAAAAAACTTTGGGCATCCTGTCTGACACTTCATAAACAAGTCGTTCGTAAAGTCATGCGTAACTTTACGAACAGCTTGATGAAACACCCCCCTGGCCTGATAATTGTTATTTTTTTAGTCAAGGGGGGGGGGGGGTTGAAAAAGATTTTTTTTTTTTTTTTTTTTTTTAGTGCTCACTATCACCCCTAGTAAAGGTAGATAACTGAAATACAGTAGTACCAAAACCAACAAAGGAACTCATTTGTTTGTTGTGAAATTTTTCAACCTTGTGTAGGCATAGGTCAGAGTCCAAATGAACTTCAGGAGCATGCCTACCCATCAGTGTAGATTGGCCAGGTTCAGTAAAAAGCTGTAGTTTTGAGTGCCATATATTAAACTAAGCTTCTTGACCTGTACACAAAGTTCTTTGGTTGACAATTGTAAGGATCAAATTATAAATTCAAGAGAAAACAAGGCCCTCACTAGTGGATGTAAGAAACTCTATTGAACAGGACCACCGTTTGTGATCTGCTTGTGTTTGTAATCCTGCAGATATCCAGAGTGTACTACCCAGGTTTGCCCTCCCACCCTGATCATGAGGTGGCTAAGAAACAGATGAAACAGTTCAGTGGGATGGTGGCTTTTGATATCAAGGATGGAATGGAGGCTGCTAAGACGTTTGTCCAGGTGAGGATTAGGATTATTAGAGCTGTCTGAAATCTTAGGAGCAAGGTAGATAATACCCCGGTCACTACAACAAGACCGACAACAGACCATACAAGATATTACATTATCCACAATTGCCAGGGTGTCTTTGCAGGAAATATTTGGGTTACAGTTTCCTAAACTAGGCTGGTAGTTGTCCTTGACTTGACATAGACAGTGAAGTGTGATACACTTTTTGTTTAATTTTCCATGTAATTTTGTCTTTTAATTGCCATCAACACATGTCTTCAAAGTGAAGAGATTTTTGTAAACATATTGATGGTATATACACATCCTCATTTACTTTCAGAGTTTTAAGATCATTCTTTTGGCGGTGTCCCTGGGAAGCACAGAGAGTTTGGTGGAACATCCTGCTACCATGACGCATGGTCCTTACTTAATGACAAAGGAAGAGAGATTGGCTGGAGGAATAACAGATGGACTCGTTAGAATCAGGTAGAGTAATGTTGAGGGGAAGAGATAGAAGGGGAAGAAAAATATACAAATAGGGGAGAGTGAGAGAGAGAGATAGAGAGAAGAAGAGAGAGATAAAGAGAGAGGGAGAGACAGAGATAGAGAGCAGACAGACAATAAGACATAGATGAGAGGAGAGGAAGAGAGGGGGGGGTCAGTGTGTAAATGTTGAAGTATTCATCATAACCAATCTAAGAAATTTCTGTTTTAAGGCATATATTTTTGTGTGACTGTGATTATGTGTACTATCACACATAGCCTACCTGAGATCTTTCAAAAGAAACATGTAAGAAAATGATTTAACTTAAAAATTCCTTATATTCTATTATGTAATAATATCATTTAATTCTACTTGAAAGAGATGTAAAAGGATTTTAAATGTTGAAACCTTTTCATTTTGATATTTTTTCCTTTTTTGTTATCTTTTCCTTTCAGTGTTGGAATAGAGAATATTGATGACATCATAAAGGATCTTGAACAAGCATTGGCAAAGGCTTGAAGGATCAACTCAGGAAAATCTAATATCATCCCAGATGAGAAATCACCAAATCTCCCACCTACTGAATTATCAAGTGGTTTTAAAATGTGACTCCTCTTTGTTTAACCTCATGTTTTACTCTGTCTATATTTTGAGAATAACATTCAAAGTTGTATCAAGCTTCTGTACGAGTTGTGAGAAACAATTAATGAAGTTGTCAGGGAAAAAATTGTTTAAAAAACTTCGGGGCTACTTTTCAAGCTTGCTTGCATGAAAATAACACTCTTTTAATTTGTTTTGCATTGAACTCTATGCAAATTTGGGGGGCTCTTTTATGACTTTCAAGGGCTCTTTTTGGCATTTCTTAGGCTAATTAGCCCCGAGACCCCATGTATTTTTTTCCCTGGAAGTTGTCCCATTACATTAAGATTAGTCTGTTGTCACCGAATATGTAACACAATTTATTTTTGGTGTACAAAGATACAAATTGTAATCTATATTGTAAGATATATGGATACTGTCAATCTATGACTGTAATTACACTGTCTGTGTCATGAAAGATACTACTGTAATTGTAGTCTTGTGAAAATACATGTTTATGCCTCCCCTACAAAGTAGCCAGAGGCATTATATTTAGGGGTTGTCCATCCGTACGTCTGTACGTCCCGTTCTCATGATATCTCAAGAACCGACCGATGGATTCCTGCCAAACTTGGGTCGTGTATCATATGTATCTTGCAGAGCCAATGATCTGATGAGATTTTAGGGTCATGAGGTCAAAAATGCCTATAAATAGCTTGTGAACGCATTCTCATTAGAACCGACAAATGGATTGCTATCAATCTCAGGACATGTAATTATCTTGCAGAGCCATGTATATGAAAAATATGAAATATGATATTATGAAATATATGAAAAATAGCTTGTAATTCTATTTTTTAAATGGTGATAGAGAATTATAACATTACCGTATCTATATAGAGTAGAGTAAACCTCACTGTTAAAATTATATTTTTATGATACATGTAACTGTAAATCATTTGATATGATATATATTTTGCTTATATTACCAGTTTTTCAATATTTGTATAAATTGCCATATGAAATATTACAATATTCTATTACTGCCTTTATGTTATATTGGTAATTCACTTACAAAAATATTCAAGTGTTTAATGATCCTACAGTATAATGCTGCGTATGAGTAATAGTAAAGGTATAATACTTGTTTGGCTCCAAACATGCATAAAGATGTTATTTTGAAATGCTTCACTTTTCAACCAAATAACACGCAAGTGCATATATATTTATATACATATATATATATATATATATATATATATATATATATATGTATATATATATATAGTCAAACCTGCTTTAGTGACCACACGTCTACAAAGACCACGTTTGTTTTTTTCTCTTGAAAATGGTTTCTCATTGAAACATGTACTAAAGGAACCTATCTACAAAGACCACCTGTTACAAAGACCACTTTTTGTGTTTCCCTTGGGCGGTGGCTATAGACACGTTTGACTGTTTATATATATGTATGTATATGTAATACAATTGCATTCGTCTCATTGTAATCAATTCAATTTTTGCAAATAGGAATTCTTGATATACTTGTCATAACAGGCTGAATTCATACAACAGTGTTTTCAGCCCAGAATCACTGTCTTAAAACATTTTTTGTTGAATACTTGGGTGTTTAAATGTAATTTTTGTTGTTTGTGAATTTAATCATTGTCGAAATTCAAGTTGTGATGCAATAAAACAAATGCAGGGAATAAATACCTTGATCTGTGAATGGTGGTCTGTTTTTTGTACCGTTTTATTCATGCTTGTACAAGTGTAGACTTGGGCAACATACTACATGCAGTGGCATATGCAGGATTTTTTCAAGGGGGGGGGGGGTAGTACCAACTTCGAAGTAATATATTTTGATTCTTAAAGATACTGTGTCCCTTTTGCATGCAGCCAACATCAAATTCTGTAGAACTTTGCAGGAATTATGAATATGTCATGTATGTCTAGCTATCTGTGAAATTTAAACGTAAGCAGTGTCGGAAAAAACAGTCCTTATATTCAAATTCTCCAAGGGAACCCGTTTACTTGCTAGACTTCACTGTCGGACACTATTGAGTTACCGGCTGGCTTTTTTTATCTTTGGTAATAACATACATAAAATGAGCTGTAAAGGGTACATGAGCATTTGTCTACATCAATAACCCACTTCTTGTAATGGCCAAAATTAAACTGTTTGAATCTTTGCGCAGTGTTAAACGTACGATCATTCAGTACAATGGTCTGAAAAATCAGACTACTACTTACTGGCTCTATAGCTCCTAAGTCAATTTCGACAGCTAATACTAAATAGTTGTTATTTTCCCACTTAAAGACATTTCCAAGCCCCCTTTTAGGGAAGTTCTAAATTAGTATTATCTTTCAAATGCCGTTTTGGAATTTAATCTTTACATTTTTTGGGCCTGCAAATGGGACGTAATGGGGTGGTATTCCGGTAGCGCGTACTAAGTTAGCGCGTACTTAGTTAGTTCACACTTTTATGGAGTGCCTGTGGCAAACTAATTTACCCTGTACAGATTATTTTAATCCTTCAATGAAAAGTGTCCAAAAAATAAATTTTGTATGACCTGAATTTCAACAAAGTCTTTGGTAGATTATCTTTGTCATGAATATTGAAGGAGGAAGATGAAACCTAGCATTCCATAGAGTGTGAACTAAAATTATTGTTTAGTCTGGACTTAGTCCCAGCTTAACTTGTGAGAATACCACCCAATACCTTTAAGAAATGTGGGAACGCAAAATGTATCGTCTTGTAATGTAATTACGGTAGGTATTAACTACCAGTATAAATTATGCTGATGTGAATGTATGCTGAACAAAAGGGTCCGTTTGTCTGACTCGTAGAATATCACGTAAATGAAAAGATTTTGAAAACAAAGGTCATAGCTAGCTGGTAGTTGAGTTAAACTACATTTTATTATGGAAGACAAAAACAGTTTTAAGACAAGTAAGATACGCATAGATTAATAATTTAAAAAATATATTTTTTATCAGAGTAAAAATAAGACTTTTGTTTACATCCCCTTATTAATCAATTAAACATGATTGATGCACATGGTATGTATGTAGACACAATTTCAAATTCATTAATATAAAAACAGTTTTCATAAAGAATTCTTTGAAGTACTATTATTTTCATAATTAGAAACTGAATGTTCGGAGGAATAACCAAGGCAATATAGTACTGACTTCATATATAGGCACACACTTCAGTTCTACATGTATCTATGACTATCCAAATTGCTATTCTTTCCTTTGAAATGTTGACAAGTCTTTTGTTTTCATGTTTATATTTGTTAAAATAATAACAATAGCCAAAATTAGATAGTTCTATAGCACTCCAATATTACCCTGGCTCTTGCTAACTAGGGTACCAATTTCAGCGCTCACATGATCATTCCTTCCTCCCGGTACCCGTTTAACATCTACACACTTGACATTTATATATCATTTAAAGCTAGAAAACAAATCAACCTCAGAAGTAGTTGCTCCCAATCAATCTAAAATTTGATTGAAATTAAACATGACTATATGTGTCCAATCTTTATGGAAGTTATGATGTTGTGTGATTTGCACAACTTTGCAAACATTTGGTCCTTTACACTTGGTCCATTACATTGTGTTTGATTACCCAGTTACAAATCAAAACCGTTGATTACCCATTTACAAAGCAAAACCATGCAAGTATATTGTTCAAAATATGCAATTTTCTATTTAAAAAAAAAACGTCCATGTTACAATACAAGGTTTTTAAAGTACAAAACTAATGTCTTCAGAATGCATGATGTTCAAAAACATGGGTATAAGTTACATATCACATCCAGATTACCTGGTGAAGCTATAGGTAGGCATTGAGGTATTCAACTTAAATGATTCAGTTTGCGATATCTTCACAACAATAATGCTTTAGTCATGTTTTCTGCATATTTTCTGCTACATCAATATTTGCAGTCAAAGTCTAAATCAACTTCAAATTTTCTAAATACTATCCACGATACCTAGTAAAACACCTTTTAAAAAAACGTCAAGTCGAATACGAGGCCTCCTCTCAGGCCAAGTCTGAAGGCAGTGATCACAACAAAGGTTCAGGTACTTTATTCTTCTATGAGGGAAAAGGCAGGGGGGGCACATGCCCCTTGTGGGCCCCAAAAGGGGGCCAGAAAGGATGACGAAAAGAAGAAGCATGGATGACCCCATCTTTTGTTGCCTTTTTTCGGTTGTCACAGTTTTTTTTAAATTTTGCCCCCCTCCCTCTGCCCAAGAACCTTGTATTCACCACTGTATGGTAGGGGCATCTATTGAAGTGGTGAGAATGGGTTTGGTGTCATAAGCTTTGAACGAAACTCTGTCATCGGGAAATCATCTGGAGCTGTAATGAACACAGGAAAAGTATTAACATAAAAAGATTGGCATTCATTGTCTACACGTACATGTATGTATGTTAAACCCATTGCCTATCAGAACTAAGTGGTCCCTGTATTAAGCTTATGATAATTATGAGAATTGGAGAATTCAGTAGTTTACTGGTTAAAAAACGCTTACTTTATTAATGATTTGTTTTGTTTTGTGTGTGTGTGGTACCTGCAAAGCAACAACGCTGTGTCCATGTTTTTGTTTACATCAATACATGCATTAAAAGTTAATTTCTTTTTAGTTTTCAGGGCTATACTCCCACAATAGAACATAAACATTTCTTTATCTCACAACAAGTCATTTGGAGCTGATTCAATCAAATGATTTATGACAGAAAAAAGTGGTCGAATGACAATCATTGTAACATATAGGCTTCATAACTGTACTTACATAGAATTTTGCAGGCATCCGATTCCAGGAAAGCAGCTCTTGTTTCCAATCTTTTGTCACCACTTACATAGTTCCACAAAGCATAGACTGTTGAAGAATTATAAAAGACTTCATAACATTACAAAGTTCAATATGGAGTAAACTACATGTATTGAAATAATTGTAAAATGTAACAATTCTACAATCATAACAAAATTAATTACAGAATTTTTAAAGATTTCATCACTAAAACGATATAGCAAGTTCCACAAGGAGTACATTGTTGTAACACTATAAATTATAAAAGTAGAATAGGTAGACAATGATTCAGTTCTCGAAAAAGGCAACAAACAACACAAAATTCGCCCTTATGGAGGCAAGGTTTTCATAAGAGATCCATAGTTTATGTGTTGAAAAAGAGAGGATCTTTGAATCTGACTCACACATATTGGCATGTCCAAGGTCTCCCATCCAAACTCCCATCAGCTTGCCGCATCCTTGAGAAGAGTAGAACTCATCTCTCAACATGATGCGTTTCTTCAAGGGGTCTAACCCCCTGGTTTCATGACGTAAGATCTTAACTCGTACATTCCTTCAGTGATTGGTAGACAAAGAGGTGAAATGAGAAGCGTAAGTATAATCAAATTCTGGAGCATTCTAGTTTAATAGCAGGGATTTGCTGAAGAAGTTCTCTACACCAGGGGGATGTTTCACAAAGCCTTTTTTCAATGACAAATAACAAAAATCAGTGACAAATCAGCTGATAACCAATCAGAAGCAAGGATTTCAGTAGCTTATAACAGAAATTGTCATTTGTCACCAATGACAAGTTTTGTGAAACACCCCCCTGGTCTCCATGGGAGCTTTCCAAGAGTAAATATTGAGGGGTCTGCGTACACCGGGGGGGGGGGGGGGGGGGGCGTTTCACAAAACTTGTCATCAGTGACAAATGACAGTTTTCGTTATAAGCTACTGAATTCATTGCTTCTGATTGGTTATCAGCATATTTTGTCACTGATTTTTGTCATTTGTCATCCAAAAAAGGCTTTGTGAATCACTCCCCAGGACCCAGTTCATGTTTTAACTTCTAACAGGTTCAGAGAGGAATTTGGGGGTCAGAGTACATGGGCCCCTCTTCGAGTCCAGCCCTAAACTGAGAATACCTGCGACAGCCGACAGACCTAGTGGCTTATTCATTATGTTTAAATAGAAAATATACCAAATATGAGATTAATGAAGGAGTTGAGCAAATGCTTCATGCTATAGGAGTTTGCTAAAAGTAAGGTCTCCAAAATCTCTAACAAGTATAGAAAATGGGTCATATCACATCTTCTCGAGTTATTATTAGGACCAAAAAATAGATAAAAAGAAAAAGTTTTGGCAAGGGGAGGGGGGGGGGGGGGTGGGGATTGAAATCAAATGTAGTATAGACAGTGTTTGGAGGGGACCTTCCCCTTATGCCAATGAGTTCGTCAATGTACATTTACATCATGGTATGTACAAAATACATATTTCTTCATGACGAATACAAATCTATACAGTGATGAACGCATTTATATCTATTCAGATACATATGTCAAAAAAGCCCCCAGGGATTTATTGAATAAAAGTTATATCTGAATTGCATGAACAAAAAAGTTGCAAATCTATCTGAATGTCAGGAGTTCCCTGCATACTCACCTCCTTCCTTTAATGGTTGGTCCTGGAGGGGTTTCCATGGTAACAACCTTCCAGAAGCATTTTCCTGTGCATCTATCATCTGGACAGCCTCAGAGAAATAGGAGGCGTGCCAGACCTTGTCCTTGGCCAATGCTGCACGTACAGCAGTCCGATGAGCAAAACAATCTGCAAATTTGGCAACAAGATGATATAGTATTAATTAAAGCTTTAACCCAATTAAACAAGGTTTTCCTTTTAAATGCATTTTTCATACAATTCAATTCCATGATTGAAAAGGAATTACTTGATTTGCTCTCTCATTGATGAAATTCTTAAAAGTTGAATAATAATTAACTTTGATATTAATACATGTTATTGTTACCATATAATGTCTGATACAAACTTTCAAAATTGTAGACGAAAATTAGACCTGGTGCAATATAACAAAAGTGTTGTTGTTGTATGCTTTGATCCCTTATTCGAGTATACAACATGCCAAATCGGAGCAAAACGTTGTTTCTGTCAATTTGCCGGATAAAAAACATATTTGCTAGCCATTTTTTGATGAACATTGGACGTCTTCTAAATCCAGGTTTGTTGGCAGATTTACGATGAAAAATCAAAATGGAAAAAGATTTGACAATCTTGTTAAACTGACCTGCAAATGTTTGTATGGTGCAACTGTCAATTACCACCTCAACATCATTCCCCCTGTCCCCCCCCCCCCCCCCATTAGTTAAATATTCTAGCTATGCCCTACTTTTACAGGCTTGCAATTGAATAGAAAAATGTCTCGGAATATCTCACCATATTCCCAGATATGGAAGACTTCATTAAGACCTCCAATATCTGTGGCCCAGTAGCCAATCAACTTATTGTGAGCCAGTCTCGGAGCCATGTTTTCATTGGTTAATTTCATGAATGCCAGGAAGCTTGACGGTTTGACTTTATAGGTTCTCAGCTCGTAGAACTTGTTATCTGGCATCTTCGATCCCGTGTTGTCATCATGAAGTTGTCTGGTGATTGAGGATTGGAATGAGCTTGCTGGAATGCTTGTAGGTTTGGGGCAGGTGAAAGTTTTCTGGGACACCTGGAAAGGTTTTTTTTAATGACATTGTTAAAAACAGCAACAAAACAACATTTAAAAAATCCATAAACCATTATTTTCAGCTTAAAATAAAGATCTGTAATTAATTTAAAGTGTAAACATATGTTTCAAACTCGATACTTGTATATCATGAGACAATAATTATGTGATTCATTGTTGTAATTGATTGATAGGTAAAATAATAATATTATATTGCAACCATCTTTTGGTACAAACATGTATAATGATACATTTTGACCATATGGCCTGAATTTGTTTTACTAAGCCTATCTTTTTTAAACTCAATGACACAAGAACCATTAGTTCCTGTTGCAAAATGCATTGACCGTGGGAAGCAATGCTTATCACAGGAAACTAAAACGGTCAGATATTTTTTTTTCAATTTCAAGGAGATTAAAGGTGAGTTTCTTGGGCTAACTGAATTGTAAGTTCACCTAGATCTAATGTAGGCCTAGTTACTATATTTGATACAGATATATTTTCTGGATGATTAAGTCTGCTTTTTCAGGAAGAGTGAGTAGACTCTTTTCAAGATATTAATTATGTGTCAGAATAATATGACATGCAGCTAGACCTCTATTAGGCCTATACAGAAACAGAACCATACTAGGACAAACATCACCACAATCACTATATATTAATTTTATTATCATTATCATCACAATCATATTATTATCATCAATATTAATAATAATAATAATATTATTTATTTATTTATCAAAAACATTGTTATTAATAAAAAGTTATCTCATAATTATCTCATCTCCTCAATATGTCTGTCAGTGTCACTTTGCTTCCTATATGATGTGCATCATAAACATAAATATGTGAGCTGCATGTACGTGTTGTTGAACTGTAAGCCTTCCCACTTGTTATCCCTTTGTTAGCCCTATCGGCTATCCTATATGGCCTACTTCCACTTCTACGATAAGTCAGGATGTAGTGCTGTTTTAACAATCTATCTGCTCTACTGTTACATGATGTAGACCCTAGCTATATTTTCTTTTTTCTAAATCTAATGTTTCATCAGCGAAATTAACCCCAGGATTCCCCAGGAGGAATTCAACAAAAGATGAAAAATTTTATAATTTTATCATTTGTTGTTATCATCATCCTGCATCTGTCATTATTATTTTTGTTTTGATAATAAACTCAAAGCAATGAATAGTACATGATCATGTTTTTAGTTTTATGCCTGACTTCGGCTACCTACCGGCTACCTACCGGGTGCGCGGCGGCTGCGTACCTGTGACTGCCAGAATCGTAACTATCACAATGAATTTTACCTGTCTCAAAGATCGAAGGAATGATGTTAGTCCAGCCATCGTCGAACTTAATTGTCTCCTCTTCAGTCTTGTCGAGATCCCACTTCTATAGCTTCTCAGGATAGTTTATTATTATAACAGTGGATTGTACGCTAATATAATTGTTTGTCACCAAACTCCTCTGGAAAATACGAGGAAGAATAGCTTGGATCTGGAGGGCGGATCCAAGGCAGAATAATAGCTGGTATAAGTACGGTAGTTGCCGTTGGTAGATAGACACTAGCAGACAAGTTTTTCGCTGTGCTCCGAGCTCCGTTAACGGCGCATGCACAATAGGTACAGTACTAGATTTGCGTTCCACATCGAAAACTAAGGAGTACGTACGAGCGCGCGTACGAGGAGTGATGATTGAGTCATTGAGTACATGTTTTATGCAGCGCGCGCATCTATCTCGCTCTAGCTAAAAATATAGCTGCTAGCTCTAATATAGCTCGCGCGCTCGACTCTTTATTTACCATACAGATTTTGGAAAATGGCGCTGGCATCAGTATGCGAAGAAACTTTTGGGAGCAATTCCTCACGGTTCTCCTCTCACCCGAGAGTTGATTTTGGTGTGAACTTCACTGCTGATGACCCCCTTGCTAATTCTAAATTCACTGTTCCTGCAGTTGCAGAGGTAATGTAATACGTAATGAATAAGTAAACAGCTTACATTTACGTAGAGTCTAGACTAGGAGGCGAAGTGACGAAGCAGATTTGCATGTTATCCAATGGCTTGAAATTTGGGTGGAGTAATCGGTCAAGTAATAATGGGAAGGCATCATCGACATCACATTAGACCAAATTTTCCGTCTCTTTCGTTCGTTAGTCTCTTAATGGAGTAGGGTCGGCTCTCTCTTTAGAGACCGAAACAGACTATCCAACAAAATGTGTAGGTTATGTGGGCAAATCAGTGCACCAAACTTGCAAAACTTATCCCATCCGCTGCATTAGGTTAAAACTTAAGTACTTCGGTTCCACTTACCAACTAACTCCGGGAAGCTCCAACACCGGCGCCGCAGGCGTCGGAGCTTCGGGTGGTTTCCTTAGTTTCTCTTGGGGGCTAGTAAAACAGCCGATTGGGTGATATTATCATTAAATCTGCAAAGGGAGTACTTACAATTTTTACATCATAGGGTGCATGACTCCTCAGGGCTCAACTCCAATCACTTGAATGTATAATTTGAAGAAGTCTTCGATGGGAAAAAAAGGTTAATTCGGGGTACTACACCAACGATTCTTCCATGTCGCAGCGTTGATTCAAAATAGCGATGAGAAGGTACGCATGCGTGGCAGTGGCAAAGAAAATATGAATATTCAGGCTATCGAGCGCCGATCGCTCGAAGTCGCTGAATATGCACGAGGTTGAGAAGGGCTCCGTTTGTTTGAGTCGTGCATATTCAGCGATTTCGAGCGATCGGCGCTCGATAGCCTGAATATTCATATTTTCTTCGGACTTCGCCACTGCCGCGCATGCGTACCTTCTCATCGCTATTTTGAATCAACGCTGCGACATGGAAGAATCGTTGGTGTAGTACCCCGAATTAACCTTTTTTTTCCCATCGAAGACTTCTTCAAATTATACATTCAAGTGATTGGAGTTGAGCCCTGAGGAGTCGTGCACCCTATGATGTAAAAATTGTAAGTACTCCCTTTGCAGATTTAACGATAATATTACCCAATCGGCTGTTTTACTAGCCCCCAAGAGAAACCAAGGAAACCACCCGAAGCTCCGACGCCTGCGGCGCCAGTGTTGGAGCTTTCCGGAGTTACTTACCAACGTGACTGAAATAATCTGTTTAATGGTCCATTTTTAGGAAATTATGGGTCAAAATTGATATCCATGATAAAAATCTTGCAGCGGGCGTTTAAACTCTCGCTGCGCATGACGTCATCTAAATCTCATCCCTTCTAGTCTACGCCGAAGGCAAAATGCGCAGCGAGAGTTTAAATGCCCGCTGCAAGATTTTTAATCATGGATATCGATTTTGAGCTGTTGTTACGATCTTTGGGGCGAACTTGGTCCTTACAGATTTTCCACAGCTGTTTCATTTGCAGGTACGCCACGTCTGACCACTCCGGTCTCTGATGCTTGCGAGCTGAGGAGTAGGAGTGCGGGAGGTTGTCTCTGGAGATGGTCAGGATCACGTCTGTGAGGTCTTTGAGAACCTATTCTGTGTGTTTTGCAGTAAGGCAACGCGGGTCAGGTGGTAACTGGTACCATAGGTACTTGGAGGCTTCTTCAAGGGGAGTTGTGTAGCTGTTATTAATGTCGTCCTTGGAGAGATCTGTCTATTTGTCCTTGAATCTTCTTAGTTTAGATCCATACTGCTGCTGGTTCTTGCTCATAGTTGCTTGTTCAGAGGTTGTGCTTGGGATGTTGATCTACAATTGGACGGGAAGATGATCAGATACTTTCTTCGGCATTTCTGGTTGGATTTTAAAGGATGAAAAATTATGTCCGGACACACAACATCTAGGTATTATGCATCAATCTGAGCATGCTTTGCATGATCTATAATTTGTATTGAAATTTTAAATTGTCATTTTTTTTTCTTCTCTTCCTTTGTTTCTCCTTTCTTATTCATAGCCTGCAGACTTCCTAGCAAACATTGCTGACAGCGAGACAGGACCAAAAATCAGGTTTCTTCATGGAACGACTACCCTAGGTTTCAAATTCGAGCATGGTGTTGTCATTGCTGTGGATTCCAGGGCTACTGCAGGCCCCTACATTGGTAAGTAGAAGATTAATTTATGTATGTGACTTCATGTAGGAAGATTAAATGAGCTGAAAAATAAAACTGTGTGCCCTGCAGGAAAAATCCTGCAATATGTACTGTTAAGTATAAAAATTCTTCCCTTTGCGAATTGAAAATTTGATATATTTATTACAAATAAATCTTGATTTGCAGGCCTATATTTTGAGTACCATAATATTCTCTATTTCACCTGAATATCCTTTTACCTTGATATCCTTAACTTTACATAAGTTATGGACATTTTCTCCTGATAATGTTGTCATCGATATGCACAATGATATTGCATTTTATTACTCAGAGTGAATGTTGAATGGTAGTTCATCTTTAAGAGAACCTTAAAGCTGAGAATAGGAACAAAACCTGGAGAGGAAAAATCTCAGGAATTATGACAAGTCTCTTTATATATATATATATTTCTTCTTTTTCTGTTGTTGATGTTTTTCGTACTGTGAGCGAAATGTTGATTGGGGGACGGTAAGAGGAATAAATGCATATTGTGACAATGCAGAACAGCTCAGAATTGGATGAAATATTGCTTTTGTTTTTATGCAGCCTCGCAGTCTGTCAAGAAGGTGATAGAGATCAACCCTTACCTATTGGGTACCATGGCCGGCGGTGCTGCAGACTGTGCATTCTGGGAGAGGGTACTAGCTGAACAGTGCAGGTATACTGGATGTTCATTGCAATACCGTATGATTCAACTTTGACCTATTACATCAGGTGCCAGTAGTGAAAGGCCATCTAAGGGTAATTTAAGGTTATACATTACATGATGTCAGGTACTACAAGCCATAATGTTTTCCCTACCTAGCAATTATTATTATATGCAAATTTGCATTCTGATGATTGAATACAATCATTCATAACAGATAAAAGAAATTTGTAACATGCCACTTTACAAAGATTTATGCATTAAATTTTATTTCATTACGAAAATGGTCTATTGTACTTTTTAACATTTTCAGGTCTGTATTCTCTGCTGCTGAAGAGTAATAAAAAATAATCACAAATGTTGTTATCTTTGTATTTGTGTAGGATATATGAGCTGCGCAACAAGGAGAGGATATCCGTGGCAGCTGCCTCTAAGCTCTTAGCAAACATGCTCTACAACTACAAAGGCATGGGCCTGTCAGTGGTATGAATGAAATCCTTTGTAACCTATTTCATTATACATTTATATAATCAGGGTCTAGCCTATATCAATAACCATTTGATCATTATTTAGATGATACTCCTACATTTTGTTCTGTACATTGTAAACTATGGAGGGAAAAAAAGATTTATATTAATTGGGATATAAATATGAAGGCAAATTAGGATTCCATTCCACTCCTCATTGCCCTTGTATAGCATACGTATTCATCATTTAAAGAATAATTTGTATTATACCTGAAATTCAACTTTAACAGTCTGCAACTACTGTGGCAGATATTATTTATTATTTTCATATTAAATTCTACAAGATAAAACCCATTTGGCTGTAAGCTATAATAAAGTAGTTTTTGCTAAGTGTAATCTAAGCCTAATAAGATTTGATATTGTATGCTGTTTGCTTTTATTTTCTGTCGGAAATCAACCTTGATAGAAGTTTTTTGAAGACCTGTAATAATAGGCCATCCATAATATATATTGAAAAAATAGCGAGAAGGCACTTACAAGAAAAATGGAAATTAAAGGTAATACAAAGTTTTGGTATGGGGTCATGAATTTGGTTCAAATGAACATATAGGAAGCTTATGCGATTTTACAATATTGAATGATCGTTGTCCCGGTTGAAATCAAGTCTTAACTAAAGTGATGAAATTGTATAGCTCCCTCTCAGAACTGATATTACTTTAGCTTTAAAACCAGTGTTTCTTGACTACAATCGACCGATTTGCTATTCTGGTTTGGAAATTATATATCAGAGCTGTATATTCTGTGATATTCATGGTCGCAGCTACCATGAAATTTTACCTTAGGCGCTATTTGAAATTTACCAGGAGCACCAGTAAATTTTGATTAATTAATTTGCTCGAAAGCAGAAGTATTTCAGGGGGCTAAATTTACTAGTGCTTTTAAGACATCCACTGGGGCATCCAAATATATCAAAGTTTTAAAGAACTACTATCCATCCAATTTTCAAACTTTCCCAAAACTTTGCATTACCTTAAATGATATACCTTATTTCTGTACACGACAAACGAGAGAGTTATCCCCGATTACATCACAATCCACTGACCTAACTGCCAATTTGAGATTCGCACAGACCTAGTGATCTCATATTTGAAACATTCATAACTTTTTTATTGGTCTGATTCACTTTTGCCATTCTGTTATCTTATTTTTCTGCTTTCAAACAAATGAAACTTTTACGAGGGTTGGATTACCCTTTAAGTTTTACATTTTCTCATATTTTTTTTCTTGTATGTTTTCATATCTTTCTAGGGTACTATGATCTGTGGTTGGGACAAGCGAGTAAGTATTTCTAATATTGGAGTTTAGCTCAATTTCCCTGGTCGTGAAAAGAACTTTTTATAACTGCTTGTGACCTCAGCTTGTCATAAAAGGGTATTGGGGGAATTTTAATGAAAGTGGCCGAAACAACAAAACCTGCCTATTTTTATGTGTGTGTGTATTGGGTTTTTACAGACGTGTATCAATCGGATATGATTATTTACGTCTGGGGACCGACCTTTAAACGTCACCATCCGAAAGACGTGACTCGGTCTCGAACCTGCGTCCTCGGCTGAATCAGTTTGTAACTTCCACTTTTAGCTGGATTACAGGTGCAGGCAGCACGCCACAACGCCTATTTTTATGTTATTTCATCAGTCTGTTTTAAATGTGACCTCGGCTTGTCAAAATAGAGTATCAGGGGCAAATTTCATGAAAATTGGGAAAACGGCACTGAAGGAAAAGCAGTATTGTTATCTTTAAATTTATTTTAAATTTGGACTGATTCCCATTGCAAGCTTCATTGCAAGTGAAACTGTGAACACTACAATAAATCTCTATAAATCATAACACAAAACCCTGCTTTCTGTTTTCAGGGGCCTGGCTTATACTACGTTGACAGTGATGGCAATCGCCTCACCAACAACATTTTCTCTGTAGGTTCAGGATCACCATATGCCTATGGTGTCCTGGATGAGGGTTACAAGTGGGAACTGAGTGTCGAGGATGCTCTTGACCTGGGTCAAAGGGCAATCTACCACGCCACACACAGGGATGCCTACTCTGGTGGTGTCGTCAATTGTGAGTATTGTATTTCAAGATGAATCTCCTTCGTAATTTTGCCATTTAAAAATGATTTCAGCAAAAATTATGAGATAGTCATGCTCACTTGCTGTATGATGTAGGGATGCCAGGGGACAGATTTGTTTGCATCCGTTACAAAGTAGCCGGAGGCATTATGTTTTCGGGTTGTCCGTCAGTACGTATGTACGTCCCGTTCTCGTGATCGCGTTATCTCAAGAACCGATTGATGGATTCTTGCCAAACTTAGGTCATATATGTATCTCTCAGAGCCAATGGACTGATTAGATTTTGGGGTCACGATATCCAAGGTCAAAGGTCACGGCTCATTATGTATGCAAAAATAGCTTGTGATCGCGTTCATCTCAAGAACCCATTGATGGATTCGTGCCAAACTTGGGTAATGTATGTATCTTGCAGAGCCAATGAACTGAGTAGATTTTGGGGTCACCAGGTCGAAGGTCAAAGGTCACAGGGCTCATTATGTATCCACAAATAGCTTGTGATCGCTTGTTAGCATGAGAGCCAATAGACAGATTACTATCAAACTCAAGACATATATATGTATCTTGCAGAGCCAATCAACTGATTAAGTTTTAGGGTCATCAGGTCAAAGGTCATGTGGCTCATTATAGATGCCTATAATGCCTATATAGCTTGTGCATGCATTATCATTAAAAACGACAGATGGATTACAATCAAACTTGAATTTTTAAAATTGTGTCTGTTTTGGTTTGTAAAATTGCTCTTTGGCGGAGGTATCATTTTTGACTGCATGCAATCGAAGTTCCATATAGTTTGTTGTTGTTGTCAGGTTCCACTCCTCAACACAAAAAAGTTTGATCTCCAAATATATTGGCATGTGTACTGAGCTCTTAATGCCTATATGTAGTCATGTACACAATCAAAACAAAGCTTCTACATGTCCCACATACAATAAAAAAATGTGACGTCCAAAATATAAAAAATCTAGAATTCCGGCGAGTGATCAAAAATTTGCATCCCTGATTTATGAAAGTCTTGAGAGATATTTAAGCTTTCAGTTAGAGAATATGAGTATCCCTTTTGAAAGCCCAATGTCGTATATACTCTCCAATCCTTGAATTGTTCTTTCATATTATAAATGTCTTCATCAAATGTGTACCTGGCTGATAAGATCCTCCTATACTGATTTCCCTGAGATTATTGGAAGACAGACTAACTTTAGTTAGCAACTTTGTAGATGAAACATTTTATTTTCATATTGAATTCTAGAAGATTTAATTTAATGCATTCATTCTTAGATCATTGGTCTTGGAGGAATCCCTTATCCCAAGGCTCAAATGACATAATGCTAGGCTTCCATTATGTTCCCGGCTGCCGTAGGATTTTCACCTTTTTTTTTCTGTATTCAAATTTTGTAAGGCCTTGCCAAGTTTTCCCATTATGTACTGTCACGTTTTGTTGCCTTCACCCTGTTTTGCTACGGCCTATTAGGTTTCTCATCCACACCGTGACTGCCATGGCAATTTTTTTTGACAGTTTAAAAATATGGCCCGGTATCCACGGCCTGTCCAGTTTGCACATCTCCCCCGCGTTGTCTCACGTCCATCCCGATTTGTCCGCGGCGGCCAAAGCAATCGCGTTTCAAGCCTCCGTGGACAAAACATAATGTAAACCTAGCCTTACATTATACCTCTCTGTTCCTCCTTTCCTGCAGTATACCACATGCAAGAGACGGGCTGGGTGAAGATATCCTCAACGGACGTCAAGGATCTACATTACAGATACCAGGACGAGAAGAAATGAAGTCATCATCATACTTAGATTGCCATGTGGTGTCTCTCATATATGTGTACAGTGTGTCATGTAGGTTGGAAAGTGTCCCGTGTTTTGGTATTGTAGGTTTCAATTTTTTTGTGCTCTTGGTATGATTTCTCCCCGAGATCAATCATAAAGCAAAATGTCATTTGAAAATTAGTCAATTTCTTTTCATAGTTTAAGACATGCTGCTCCCTATCTTGTAATGAATACAGTAGGCTCGAGTATGGGTATGTGCTCATTAATTGAAACAGATAATGGTGTGACATATTCTTTATTTAGTTTGTAAAACTTAGCATTCCTAAAAGATTTTATTGTAAAAAAAATGAGATCTTTCAAAAATCCCCATCCAAGCACAACCTTCCGTGTAGATGCAGGCTATCAGCCTTTTTGCACACATAATAAAGGTATTGTGTGCTTGGCTGGGTGCAATAGGGCATTCTCGTTATGTAAACAAAGTTAATGCATACGCCATTATGAATTATTTCATTCACCTGTTACAAATAATAATTTATTTCAATAGTCCAAATGCACATTGTATACTGTACGTGTCGTTAGGTCAGGCAAGCCATGTTTGGGTGTACTCCTGAAGATATATGAGATGTACACATAAAACGCCAATGTGTGGGAGGTCATGTATTTCATTGATTATGTCATTAAAAACAGATTAACAGATTTAGCTTATTGTTATTATTATTATATTATTAAAAAAACAAATGCACAGACCAGCAGGTATTTCAATCGATCTAATGTTAATAATTATCTATCTCTTACAGAACATTGTAATCCTTTTGTGTATTTATCAAATATAGTGTTATTCCATGATATGCAGATGTAGATATGTCCATTACCTGTGCGGATGTTGTCTTCAATTTAAAAAGATCATCAGACATGTATCGTCTCGTCTTTATTTCAAAAGTGATATTTCTCTGTTAAGGTTTTTTTTTTTACATCGTCTTCAAGATGAATACATGTACATTAACGATAAGCAGTTCAAGCACAACAATGAATAATGAAACAAGAAACTGGCGTTTGTTGATCCTTTAATATATTTCATCTGTTTATTAATGTACATAAATCATACCAATCCATAATATGCTTTTTGTATTATTTTGTGATTTACAAGTGCTTTATTACAAGTTCTATGATATGATTCTCAAGACTATGTTATATTCATGTTCTTTCTTACTCCAATATCCTTACCACAGAACACATAATTCACACAAAGCAAAGACGAGAGTGCAAACAGAGAAATGAAAAAAACAGACATTCATGAAACATTAGTGTACATTATCATGAAGAATTTAGAGCCTAATGGGGCATTGTAAGAAAGTTGCAATCAATTGCAAATCCCCAAAATCAAGCATAAGTCTTTCGATAAATTGCAAATTTGCAATTGATCGCAACTCAACTCTCTTGCAAAGTCCCATTAATAGAGAGAGAGAGAGAGATAGGGAGAGAGAGGGGGGGGGGAGAATAAAAGAAAGATCTAGTTAACTTAAAGGTACTATGTCCCATTTGCAGGCCAAAAAAATGAAAAAGTTAAATTCCAACTGCATTTGAAAGATGATACTAATTTAGAACTTCCCAAAAATAGGTGGGGCTTGAAAATGTCTTCAAGTGGGAAAATAACGACTATTAGTTGTCAAATCGACTTTAGGGCTATAGAGCCCAAAAGTAATATTCTTGATTTTCAGACAATTGTACCGAATGGTCATACGTTTTATGCTGCACAAAGATTCAATCAGTTTAATCTTGGCCATCACAAGAAGTGAGTTATTGATGTAGACAAATGCTCATGTACCATTTACAACTCTTTTCATGTATGTTATTACCAAAGAAGAAGAAAAAGCCAGTCAGTCACTCAATACTGACAATAGTGTCTGACAGTGAAGTCTAGCAAGTGAACGGGTCTCCTTGCATAATTTGAATAATAGGACACTGCTAACGTTTAAATTTCACATATAGGACATACATGACATATTCATAATTCCTGCAAAGTTCTACAGCATTTGAGGTTGGCTGCAAAAGGGACATAGTACCTTTAATATAATTGTTAAAACTTTAATCCTAACAAAATCCTAGGAAATTTAGGAGAAAAGGGGTGTGGCAAGAAAGTTGAGTTGCAATCGATTGCAAATATCAGTAACAAATTTTGCAACTTGCAATCAATCGCACCTTTCTTGCAACGCACCCAAGGCCTTTAAAAAAAAAGATGTTGTATTGCCCTTCAGGTGCCAAAACATGGGTCGGTCGGTCAGAATTTTTTTTCTCCCTCTTTGGGCTGATATTTCTCAGTTTTGAATGCTTTAATATTTTTTTTCTCTAAAAAACGTTAAGCCGACCGTAGATTTCAAGATATTGGGGCGAATACAACATCTTTTTTTTTAGGCCTAAGATTAAATACAGACATAAGAAATTTGAATGATTCTTTGGAGATTCACCATTAACCATCAAACCCATTGCAAAAGTCACAAAATCAAAAAGGGGTTAAATACATCACTTTGAGAAGCTTAATCTATGAACGGATGGTCAAATTGGGCAGAATTGATATCTACATATTAGATGAAGGGGCATAAAGAAATTAAAATATTAATACATTTATGACCTCAAGATAAGCAACATTTTGTAAAATATATCATCGTTCATTTCAAATTTCGTCTCTAGAAGAAAGGTGGGGTACCGCTAGATATCTCTAGGGGTTCCTCTCTCTTGCAAAATTTAGAATCAAATACGCCCGTACGTGTGTAAATGGCAAATTACGAGTGTCGAAAGTGCATGATGCAAAGCTTTTTTTTTATTTGTTAAAGGGTTCCCGGAGTAAACAAATTAAAATGTTGAAAAACACCGATCTAGTAGACCCCCCCCCCCCCTCCCACTCTCGTGACTTAATCTCACCCACTCCCATACTCAATCTCCACCCCACCCCACTCTCTCTTCTTCTCTCAACATGTTTGTCCCTCTCACTAACTACCTCACTCGAACTTTCTAGCTCCCCCCCCCCCCCCTTAAGCTCCCCTCTCAATCTCTCTCTCACTAACTCACTCACCCTTTTTTTTACATACACACACACTCGATCTCTTCGGCCTAATCGGCCTAATAAACATTAAAACATTAACAAATTTGAAATATCGAAAAATGTAGAAAGTCTCAAATTTATTTTCCACATTGTAAGTACTACATTACATTACAAGTAGTGAGTTATTGATGTAGACATGCTCGGTTACACCTCATTTTTTGTATGTTATCAGTAACGTACGCAGGAATTTTTCAAGGGGGGGGGGGGGGGTCCCGGCCCCCCCACTCAGTGTTATTTAGGGTACGCATAATGCTCGTACCCTCTTTTTGAAAGCACCCCCTATCTGAGGACTGCCAACATTTCCGAACCCCCCTTTCGCGGGCTTTTCGCGGGCTTTTCCTGCCTTGGAGACCCCCCTAAATCAGGAAAAATGCTCAATGTACCCCCCTAAATTCGGAATAATTTCTCAGGAGTCCAAAGAGATGAGGGGAAAAAAGAAAAACACCCCCTTTTTAAAGAAATCTCCGGGTGAAAAGTCAAATACACCCCTTTTTTTACAATTCTCGGGCCGGACTTTGTCGCACGAAAAGTACCCCTTTACCGGACATTTTGGCAACACGCATGCGGTCATTTCGACCTCTGAGTGGGGGGGCCGGGGGGGGGGTTAACATTTTTAAATCGGGCCGAAAATTTCGCAATGACTCAGCCAGCCTCTGAGTGACCTTGGACCGTGTGCGCGCACGTACGTGCGCCAGGGTGACGATCCCCGGTCTCCGCCGTTTTCCAAAATACTCCAGGGTGTTGTGACCGAAGACTGGAGACCCATGTACTATCATGATCGACTATCGGAATGCATGCGCTTGTACGTGTAGTGCACCTGCGGGAGGAGAGAGAGAGAGGGGAAGAGTCGATCCCCGGTTTCTTCGACACCTCCCCCCCCCACCCCCACCCCACCCCCCCCCCCCCCCCCCCCCAAAAAAAAAAACGAAAAAAAAACGGGAAAAAAAAAAATAATAATAATAATAATAATAAAAAATGAAAATAAAATGATAATAATGATAATAATAATAATAATAAATAAACAGTAAAGGAGTAAAAATTGTTTTTTCTTTTCTTTTAACCAAAAAGAAAATAAAAAAACATGAATTGAATCACGTACAAATTATATTCAATAACATGTCCTGATGGAAAAAATGAAGCCAGTTTTGACTAATAAAGACATATAGGGAAGTTTGGTAGTTTGTAAACTCTGTCCCCAGAATTCCAAAATATGGGCCGAGACCTGACTACTATTATATTATCCCATCAAGGTCACTGAATTCTTCGTTCTTCGGAATCACTCATGCGTGACCGTCCAGACGCCCTTTTGTATGTTTTAGGCCTTTCCCATCTTCCTTTGTCCTATAGGATCGAACTCAGTGTTATTTTGCTCTGGTTCCTAATGTTATGAACCAGAGCAAAATTACACTGCATGAGTTCCTAGCTAGGACATCTATTTATTCAGATGGTCATATCTCAACCATATTCAATTGGTTTTCGACATTTGGACATTATTTTTTATGCTCTTTCGGAAAATGAAGAAAAATTGAGAAATTATAAAAATAGTTTTTTTGATGACGTCACACTTTACCACTCTTATCATAGCACGCATATCGTTGTGACACGATTGCATTTCTAGTCAAAACTTTTTCGCGTTCAACTGGAATTCATAACGATGAGCTTTTTTACTTCCTCGTATGTATATACATGTCGGCCTGTTTGGAACGGGGAGTTGACATTGGAGAACTATCCTACTTTCTCAACTCAAGCAGTACAGGTTTTTATCGGATTTGGCCACTTAAATGATTTTAATGGCGGCAATCAAACGGCCGGACAATTAAGAATTCGACTGGAATTATTATTCAAAATCAAGTCTCGCCACAATTTCGCAGTTAACACCCATTTGAGCTGCATGCACCGCTGTTCTTAAGTTCGGAATTTATCACAAGGACTTTTCGTAAGGACTATCGTGGAATTGTTAATCAGCAGTTTATAGTTCATTCAGGAAGGTTCATTATTCCTCAATTATTATTATGTCGAAATAACTCGCCGTGCACCTGAACTAAAGGCGGTGAATGACGCCAATGATCTGCACTGTAAGGCTTATACTCCTGGATTACGTAAGTAGTTCATGCCGTTACATATTTTCAAAAAGCAATTTATTGTAATGCAGAAGTCATAGAATTAGATCGCTATTGACCTATACATCATCTTTACATTAAAGATTTGCAACTCCTGAATAAATGGTATATTTTGATACCTTTTTTTGAGGTAAAATTATCGAATAATGCATTGAGGTGTATCTGCGTCCTTGATGTAGTATATATATCTTTCGTGTTCTTCTCTTGATGAAGACCTTTTTTACTCTTCATCTGATTGGATAATTATGTAATAAATGTATTTTAAACTAATTACCGTTTTATTCAGAAATCACTGCTGAGGAACCTGAAAACATTAATCATGTAAGTGATAAGAGAAGTAATTTTTTGTGAGAAAGGGTTAGTAAATTTTAAAAAATGGTAAAGGCTTTTAATCTCTCATTTAAACGTTAGAAGTCTCCGAAACAAGTCGGACCATATTTGTCATTATCTATCCGATAATAATTATGACTGTGTCAGAGAACTGGCTTGATGAAACTATTGAAACACAACAGTTGAATATAGAAGGATATGTTTTTGAACGGAAAGATCGAAATGCTAGTGGCGGTGGAATTGGATGTAATATCAAAGGCTCAGTTTCTTACACTAGAAGGTCTGATCTTGAACACGAAAATCTAGAAGTGTTATGGATAGAGATCAAATTGAAGCAATCACAACCATGGTTTGTGTGTATTGTATACAGACCTCCAAATAGTACAATGGACTTTTTTTAAACGTTAGAAAATACTATAGAAAGAGCTAATGATAATACATCCAACATCATCGTCCTGCCACATTCTTGCCAAAAACACATGTACTAGAAAAATACGGAACTTATGTGATTGTTTTAATTTCCGTCAGCTTATTAGCAAACCAACCAGTCGATCATGTATTGTTGCCAAAAAACACATTTTCTAGAAAAATACGGAACTTAATTATGTGATTGTTTTAATTTCCGTCAGCT